CACTTTCTCACTAAGTATCATTATTGGTGATGTGTAATAAGAAAGAACTGAGCTGACCACTGACATTAGCCCTGTCAGCCCTTAAGAGATTTCAATAGTTAAGTTCTTGAAGTCTTGACTGAATTGTTGAAAAATTTGAATATGCAATATTAGTGCAATTAAATTGATATATTTCAAAAACCGATTGAAAATAAAGTCATACAAGTTGATTTGATGTGAAAGTAAATTGAATTCTCTTTCAAATGATACCAAATTTAGTCTCTTTGAATGAAGCAAAAACAAAAATCTATACTGAAAATGGGGAAAAAAATGGAATTCTATACTGAAAATGGAGTAAAATAAACCCAGAATTCCTTAAAGCCTGAAATGGAATATTGGTCCCTCAAGGTTATAAAACTGCTGTCATTAATTTGTGGATTTGCCTACAGTTCTTCAGTTTAGCTTCGAATTCTTGTTTGAATTGTAATTTAATAGTATATAAACTGATTCATGTAACAAAGAATCAAGTAGCAACTTCACCATGTTATCACAAAAAACAAAACGAACACATGTGACTAGTATTTTTTTTCCATGTGGCATATTGGCTGAAGTGTGAATGCATGTGTGAGTGGCATGGCTGATTTGCATGTATTTTCCTGTTGCCTATGCAAATCTCCTTACCTAATAAAAACAATGACATGAAGTGAGCAAGCACTAGCTTTTATTTTTAAAAATGACAAAACTGTGGAATGGACCCACAGAAGCAATACACATCATGTGACAAACAGTACTTGTGTATAAATGTGGTTGTAAATATGTTAAAGGCCTGCTATGCAATGACTATACAGTATATCCCAGATTATCTGTACCTTGATTTTTCAGACTTTGATTATTTGGACATGAAATGAAGAGAAAAATGGAAATGATCCAAACATTTTTCAGTTATCAAAACTAAACCCATTCTCAGAATTCACCTCGGACAAGCATTTGGAAAATGTACAAAACCATACTCATAGTTAACGTCAGCTATGGTTTAATTAATGATATTGAAATGTTTATGGCTGGTATTGTTTTGTAGATTCAACTCAGTATTTAACACCAGACATACACACACCTGTAGTATTCTTTTCTTACTTTCTCTTTTATTTGGCTATGCGGTATTTCATCTCCTTTGCTGACTCCTTGGTATTTATAGGCTTATTTCTGTTCCAGTTCCATAATCTTTGTGACAAAATCTTGATCTATTGAGTGTATTTCTGTAACTCTCTCTTTCATGAATGTTACTTTTGCACATCTAATCTGAAATCCATACCAAAGTCATCACTGAAATATTTTACAGTATTGAGGATACTCTTCAACTCATTATTGTCTTTGGCAAAGAGTTTGATATTATCCATGTAGAATAGGTGATGAAAGACTTTCTTTTTTTTTTTTTTTACTTTGTATCCATAGTTATTACTGTTTAGTTCATGTGAAAGGGGGATCAAGAAAAGACAAAATAGGAGTGACAGGGCATCTCCTTGAAAGTTTCCTTGCTGGATATTCAAACAAATGGAAGTGGAATTACCTTTGATGTGATTTAGGTATATTTGTGGTTTTCCACAGTTCCATGTTATATTTAAGGAAATGTACTATCACTGAGGACTCTTTCCACATTTCCAAAGCCTTAAGGATCCAATAGCATGGTATCAATGGCTTTACAATAATTGATCCAAGCTCTGCTGAGATTTCTACCTTTTTTTTCCAGAAATTTTCCCGGATCATTTTATTTGATAAAAATGCTGATAAAATCAGTTCAATTAATTCTTGTTAATTCCCTAGTTTTTAGAAAAAGAAACTACATTTAAATTGTTGTAACCTAGGGAAGGTTACTGAATAGAATATTCACACAAAGGTTGGTAATGAACTATGATACTTTGGACAAGAACAACACATATAAGCACGTAAAAGAAGTAGTCAACTGCTAAAAGTGAGTCAAGTGAATTCCACAATGAATCTCCAACTGCAGACCAACATACAGTATTTACTACTGTATTTATGCAAACGGGGACATACCCATTATCATCCATAGGTATGCTACAACATAAATGATCACAACTTGGCTATGCCAGAGATTATGCCTTATGCAACTCTCAGATATGCAACACACACATGTGTAACTGACCACTGGTCTCAATGAAAAAGGTCCAGGTTTCATACTGATGTTATCCTTTTATTGAGGAACTACACCTGTGAAAACTAGAAACAAATATCAAATATATTTCTCAAAAGGGGTAAATTGATGAACAAAATACATTTCAAAGAAATACACAAGCAAAGAAAACACTTTTCAAACAGAAACAATAACAATTTGAAGCAAAACTCAAAGAAATGATAAACAGATATATGGTGTCTTTGAGGAGAATTTCAGATGATAGTAGTAATGAGCAGAATTACCGTATTGCCTCTTTGACCAGCAGTTACTAAAGAACACATGGTAGCTTCCTTCATGTGGTAGCAGGCTTGCAGAAATAACAGCTAAACATATCTATATAATAAATGCGAATGTCAGTGTGTCACACTTTTTCAACTTTACTCCTAGAGACCTCAGCCCAAAATATCATACTATTTTCGAATCAGGTTGACTCTATGAGCAAATTAAAAACATTCTGTGCTGGTTCCAGATTCGTAATCATGAAATTTTGGACTCCTAAGTTTTCATTACTTTGATTATTTTTGGCGATTTTCTATTTTTCTTTTTTTTACGTGATTTTTTTGTACGATAATTTTTTCAACTTGAAAATAAATTTGGAAATAATCAAAAGTAATTGCGAAATACAGCAAAAGTCACCCATGAAATAAAAATAGTTGTTTGTATAGAAAGTAAGGGCCTATGTACATTAAATTGTCTTTAAATTAAATGGCAGCAGAAGAATTATAGTTGAACTTTTAAAAGGTAATCTTAAATATGAATGCGATACTTAAATGCAGTGATCTATTTTGAGTTCTTCTGTAGTTTATTGTTGCCTATCACATCTACTCCTCCCAACATATTGAAGGCCCAATCAAGAACCCTCTTGAGGAGCTAGCTTAAATGCTGCCTGATAGGGTGACTTTTAATCTAGTGTATGTATTTATGTGATAAATGTTTATTTTTATATTTTTATGGAACATTAAAAATTGTTCTCATAATTTTAACCCTATTACTACTATGTTACTACTAAATAGCAAAGACTAAGTCTGTGAACGTATATACTGGTCCCTTTTGGTGGCTGTTACAACAAACAATGATAGTTTGACAAATATTTAAGTTGGTTGTGCTTTCAGCCAGAAGTTACCTTTACAAATACTTCTACTTTTTAATCTAGCATTGGGGAGTTAACAGCAGAAAAACACAAGACAAGCCAGAAACGAACAAAAAAATGACACATTTTTTCATTCAAAAATAAACTGAACAAAGCCTGGAGCAAAACATTTGAAAATGTTATTTGATGATATAAATATTAAATTTCTTTTAGAAAAGAAATGATGACCCATACACTGAATCTGTTATAAAAATTCAAAATGTGGAATTAATAAACTTTAATCCCTTCAAATATCTTGGTGCATTGACCAGTTCTAACAAATTTAGTAGCGGAAGTAAAGGAAATTGAATGTAAGATAGGTTGCCCATCACCACAAGATGCTACAAAACCAAGATATTAATTTGAGAGTGATGTTCTTAAATAGCTATGTCAGATCTAGACCCACATATGGACGTCAAGCATTGCGTTCAACTTGTTCAGACTGTCAACTATATACAAACATTTTTTTTAGATCAATGATTAAAAATGGCTTACAGCCACATCAAATTGAAATACCAGTTACCATATTATCACCGAAGTTAAGCAATGTCAAACCTGGTTAGTAACTAAATGAGAATATCAGATGCTGTAAGTTTGGATGTGTGGGTAGGTGTAATGAATAATGACACAAAATTGTTAATCAGAGAGCTAGGTTCAAATTCCAGTTGGGTCCGTTATATTCACTTATGTGCTAATACACATGGGAAAGATATGGATTCACCTCTTCTCCTCCTAACTATAGGTTAATTAGTAGAACGTTTATCACTAAACCATTATTATCTCCCCCCCCCAAAAATTCTTACAATTTAAAAATATTTTTTGGCTTTAAATAACCTGCAAAGGGTTGATAAACCATAGAAAATGAATCAATAAAAATATGGCTTCAAGTAAATGAATCCTCTATGTCTTATAGATTGGTACTACAGAATCACAAAGAACTTTGCCGAATAACAAAAACTGCATTACTTGAAGACTTCCAACAGCAGTAACAACTAAAATGGGTTGCAACATGTAACTAGAAGAGAAAATAAGGATATTATGAAGATGTTGACTTTCTCAGTCAGTTATGTGCCATGCATGACACATGCTTAGGCAGTCATGGTGGAGTAATGGATAACAGCTCCGATTGAGGAATCAGAGAGCCGAGTTTGAATTCTAGTCAAATCCATTACATTCACTTACGTGCTAATACCCTTGGGAAAGGTATGAATCCTCTTCTTCTCCCCCCAGCTATGGGTAAATAGCAAGACAGACCGGGTTCTATAGCCTTGGATGGCAACTTGTCTACCGCAAAAAAAATGTCAACCTACTGGGAGAAAAAAAATTTGCTTCGTCAGTCATGTATCAAAAGATACATGATTGCCTAAGTGTGTATCATGCATGGCACATAACTGACTGTTGACTTTCTACACTATCTTAAACAAAAGGTTAGGAAGGAAACTTCTATCAGTGCAAGAAAGAAGGATGACAATAAACTTAAGAAGTTTAATTTCCTGAAAAACTTGTTTAAGGGAAACATAAATATCAACTGGCAATAACTGTTTAATGAATGACAAATGTTTCTTGAATGGAAACGGCTAATCTCACTATAACCGTTATTTTGGGCATTAAGTAAGATTGCAATGAATCTGTTATTTTTATATCACTTTTATCTTCTGAAATTTAATTGTTAAGTTTTATTCCTGTCATCTTTTTCAGAACGCTGTTGGTGACGTGTAATAATGAAGAACTAAGCTGACCACTGACATGGCATCACCATCTGGCGTGGATTCTGATGAGTTTCCATTGCTCCACAATATCTTTGAGAATGGCCTACCTAGTGTTGGATCACTGGAACATGTTATTTCCAACATGGATTACCAGATTGATATCAACTCACGAGAGTAAGTATAAAACTATAATATTCAGGGATAGGGGATACATTACATTCCTTGTGGGGTGGGTGATGTTTGTCACATTTTTAACCTGCAAAGAAGTAAAAGCAGAAGATCTGCAACAAGAGACTTCTTAGCCCTGTCAGCCCTTAAGAGATTTCAATAGTTAAGTCCTTGAAGTCTTGACCGAATCATTGAAAAATTTAAATATGTGATATTAGTGCAATTAAATTGATATATTTTAAAACCGATTGAAAATCAAGTCATACAACTTGATTTGATGTGAAAGTAAATTGAATTCTCTTTCAAATGATACCAATTTTAGTCTCCTCGATATTACTGGTTATGAGATATAGTTTTGGAAATCTATAACTTTTACAAAGTTGTAGATTTCTGGTGCCAAGTTGGATATTAATGCTGTGTATTGAAATACAGTGCTACCTGATTGCAGGTGTATTCAGGTGCTTATAGACTGTAAGAGTGTAAAACTTATAGGTGCATTTGGTCACTTCCAGTCTTAAAAGCTTAATGCATGCTAATGTATGAGTCAAAAGTTTTTTAGGCTATCTCTGAAATCTAAAAGCTTAAAACATCAGTACTTGAAACAAATTTCTGAAATAAAAAAAAAAAAGATAGCTTATAGAGCCTTGTCTATTTTTCTGTTTAACCCATAGCTGGGGGAGAGGAGAGACAGATGACTTTCCCAAGGGTATTAGAGTGAAAGTGAATGCAACAGACTAGACTGGAATTTGAATTATGCTTGCTGATTCCACTTTCCACACTGCTATACCTTATATTACCGATGCATCAACTATCTCAGAGTAAATGTAATTCTTGTAGAGTTAGCAGACACAGGATGTACATGTTAGTATAGTTCTATCGTTTTTTATATACAGTAGAATATATATAAAAGTAAAGGTGGTAGGAGTAAGAGAATGATGACAGTAGCGGTTGAAGGAACCCAAACCTTTGTTGTGTAATTGTAACCAATTTTTTTCTTTCTTTTATACAGACTTGACGAATGCCTGCAGGCTGTGTTGACATTCACAAATGAGTTGCCTGGCAACAAGTGCTTAAGTTCACCTCAGGACACCCTTAAATACATGATCAATTGCCATGTTTTGGAAAAGAGTTCTTGCTATGATCTTGACATGGATGACATCATTAGAATATTGCAGCATGTTGTATGTATATTTTATGTAATTGATCTATGTGCTGTGTTTTATTGTATATATTGTATACATGATCTTTTCTATCAGATAATTTTAAAATATGAAAAAAATGCTTGTATATAATCAGTATATAATGAAAGAACAAGGCAGTATGTTTGTTAGTATTAATGAGAATTATGTAAATAAACAACAAAATATTTCATTTTTTAATCAAATATTGATTACACACAAAAATTTCTCAGGTATTTATATATATATATATATATATATATATATATATATATGTGACCCGTATATATATAAATAGCTGAGAAAAATAACATGTGACCTGACGATTGCATATAGCATGAAACAGACTGTCGCCTCTAAGTGTTGACTTCTATGTTCACTTTTATATATATATATATAGATTTTATATATGTTTCTAGAGTGATAGGAATGTTTTTAATTTTCCAAACAGGGTCAGCACATTGTGGCCGTGTTCATCATTGATGTTATTTAGTGTTGGCTTTTTTTTTTATTATTAGTGCTTTCATTATTTTTATTTTTTTTTACGTGTAGCTGTTATACTTGTATTTTCTACAAGTATATTGGAGATGAAGTTTGATAGGTGTGATATTTTTTCATGTGTGTTTAAATGAGTCCTAATTGAACTATGTTCAGTGAGGTGTAAAGTGAGTCTTCTTCATAGGTATATAGTGGTAGGTCTGCTATACTTGTAAGCACTTGGATATATCGAACATTTGGACAGTTTTATGCATTTTATGTCCAGAAAAGAAATCACTTATATACAAATACAAAAATTGTAATAAAAAGCTTAATTGCAGTACCTTTTCTGTCATCTTTAATGAAGCACACACACACACACATATATATATATATATATATATATATATATAGAGAGAGAGAGAGAGAGAGAGAAAGATATATTTTTTTCAATGGATCTTTTATTAATCCAACAGATTTTTATCACTTTAGACATTATTTTTAGTGGATACTTATGTTAGAGTATCCACTCCATTTATTTATTAAACAGTATATTTATTTATTTTCATCTACCAGCTTAAATATTTCAGAAATCTTATTAAAGAAAAATTTGCGCTTTCCAGCAGCAAATGGAGTGCCTACTCAAATACGAGTATCTGCTAAAAAATAACATTTAAAGTTACAAAAATCTGTCAGATTAATAAAATATCCATTTTCTCTCTCTCTCTCTCTCTCTCTCTATATATATATATATATATATATATATATATATATATATATATATATATATATAGGCAACAATAAAATTATTCATATGCCTATGAATTTTGCATATTTTTATCCATTTCTCAGAATCTAAAGCCTATATGATGCCAGGTTTATTAAGCACAAGAAAAAGGAATATAAAACTCAATTTTCAGAACAATAAGTTAAATACAACAAATTTGACAGGTATGAATTATGTAAAATAGGAAAAGACAAAATTATTCATGCAGTAGAAAATATAGTTTTAAATGGATTGATTTGTGTAAGTAATTTACATAATTATTTTATTGGTGAAGCCTTCTAGCTTATTTGTTCAATCGAATATTTGTGGTAATTCTAGCAAAGAACATCATGTGGTGTGTAGCGTCATCATTGTTATTCTTACATTAACAGCATGATGGGGAAGACAAAGGAGCTTAGCATTAACTTAGAGAATTATTAAATTCCTCAAGATAGGATACAGTTACAGCACTATTTCAAACAGGTTAGCTACCCCTAGATCTACAGTACAGTCTGTTATAAAGAAGTTTAAACAGTTTGGCATGACAGAAAACCCAAATTGTCACTGAAAACTACACAAAAACTGTGTTGTGAGGTTAATATAAACTCAAGAATTGTTTTGAAAGACATCGCCAAAAGTTTGGATATGATGGATGTCAGCATATGTACTCACACAATACAACACTTTTTAAATATATATGGGTTGTTTGGAAATCAACCATGATGAACCCCTCTTCACAAACCATGTCAAATTGCTGCTCGGTTTAATTTTGCCAAAACATTCTTGGAAAAGAAAATTGCTTTAGGGAACGAGTACTATGGAGTGATGAAACAAAAATTGATCTTTTTGGGCATAATGATGTACAGAAGATTTGAAGCAGGAAAGGTGATGCTTTCTTCCCAAAGAACACAGTGGCAACATGAAAACATGGAAATGGCTTGATGATGTTTTGGAGTTGTTTTAGTTCAAGGGGGACTAGACCATTAATTACAATAAGAGGAATAATGAAATCTGCAGACTATATAAAAATTCTGAATGAAAATCTACAACTATCAATGCAAAATCTTCATCTGGGTTGAAGATTTACTTTCCAGCAAGATAGTGACCCCAAACATATGCCTAAATCAGTGACTGTGTGGCTTCAGAAAAAGAAGGTTACAATCCTGTCATCGCTTCAATGAATCCTGACTTGAATCCTATTGAAAATCTATGGCAAGAATTGAAAGTTCAAATAAATCGTCAGTCATCAAAAAACTTCAGGAATGAGAATGTGTAACCATTGAAAAACAGAAGAAAATACCAAAAAAGACTTGTTCAAATCTCATTAAAACATTAGAAAATGATTGTAACAAGTTATAAAGATGAGAGGATATATGCGATTGACTATTAATATTGTAAAAATTGCTCAACTTTTTCTGTTTTTCATACTGTACGAATAATTTTGTCTTTACCTATTTTGCATCATTTGCCTGTCAAATTTGTATTTAACCTTTTGTTCTGAAAACTGAGTTTTATATTCCTTTTTTGTGTGCTAATTAACATATAAAAAAACTGGTATCATATGGGCATTAGATTCTGAAAAATGGTTAAAAAATATTCAAAATTGATGGGTGTATGAATAATTTTGTCATTGACTCTCTATCTATCTATCATATATATATATATATATATATATATATATATATATATATATATATATATATCTAAACACACACATTTTTAAGTATTTATAGTATCTAAAGATCTTCTTTTGTCTTTTACAGCAAACTAGTCTTGAGAACCATCCAGGATGTGAGGAACTAATTCTTGAGGATTTGATGACCCTCTCTTCTTCTGAGGGCATCTCTCTTCCTCTCCGCTCTTCTGCCACACCTCGTGCCGATGACTCAGTGGCATCCCTCAACTCAGTCCAGGACAACCATGAGGTGCTTATTGAACAACTCTGGGACCAGATTGCCCTTAAGTTTCGCAGGTAAATTTTGCTAAGATTTTTTTTAAAGATTACTTTATAAACAAAACTACACTATTTACATTGCTCAGACTATCATCTTCATTTTTGTTGCCATATTTATCACAACATATAGACATAGAACATCATTGGAAAATTCGTAAACTTAAGAAATCAGCACATATGCTAGGCCACAAAAATCTCCTGAGCTGACCAAGCATAGAAATGAATACAATATAGGAACCAGTAATAAGGAGTGCCAGAGAAAAGCAATAATAACAACGAAAATTGAAATATGAGCTCTGGTAAAAAAACATGCAATGATAACAGCAAAAATTGCAATATGAGCACTGGTAAAAAATGGTTGCTGAAGACATTAGGTTTATTATACCTAGAAATTCATACACAGATGTCTTCAAGGACACATGGCACAGTGGATAAAGGTGTTAGATCCAGTGACAGGACCCAAAGAGTGTGAGTTAAGGCAGTGGAGAACTTGGAGAGGGGAATTAACAGGAGATAACTGATATCCATTAGACATGGCATGTGGAACTAGAACAGTCTACCCCAGCAAGTGAAATAAAGGGTTCAGTTTGACATTCCAACCACCTGAAGAAAGCCAGAGCATACAACAGCCGAAATGTTGTGATAAATATGGCAACAAAGATGAGGATGATAGTCTGAGCAATGTAAATAGTGTGCATAATACCTCATCTCAGAAATATAGACAAATAAAACTGTGTACCTTCTTTTTTAAAACTTTTAGTTCAGCCAATGCAAGGCCCAAGGGCTACTCAAGGTAGAGGGTTACTGAATGAGATTGTTTTGAGGGAGACAGGAGTAAGAAGTGCACATTATGAAAACATGTAAGACAGATATCAGTTGACCCTGAAATTGAAAAAAAACCAAGATTGTAGTTTTCAGGAAAGCATCATCTCAGGAGTTTCTTCCACAAAGTAACAGTTCTGGAACAAGCTACCTGAGTGGAACTAGCTCTTTATCAAAGGAACACAAATGGAAAAGGGATGGTATGTCAGTGTGAACATGGCATGTTTTGGAAGGAGATCTTCATCAGAATGGTTATGTAATAGATAAACAATTTGAATAATTATATACATTATGATAGACTGTCACATCATTTTCAAGGTCAGTGAGTTATGTGTCTTTCGATACATGACTGACTAGGTAGAAAATTTTTCAAGCAGTAGGTTACCTTTTCTTTCTACAGTAGACTTTTTGCCAACAAGACTAAAGAACCCAGTCTCTCCTGCTATTTAATCCATAGCTGGGGGAGTAGAGACGGATTCATACCTTTCCCAAGGGTATTTATGCATAAGTGAATATAACAAACTCAACTAAAATTTGAACTCAGTTCTCCGATTTCACTTTCCAAGCTGCTCTGATGCCTTATTGGTGTTTGTACTTTTGTTGATTTTTAAGCCTAGCTTGATACCTACACATCATTCCATGTCAGGGAAAAGGATAGCACCCCTTGCGATGGTTGCAGGAATATTAGGATTGTATTTAGTAATACAGAGATGCTCAATATGTGATCTGTCAAAAATCATGATATCTTCTATGCACATAGCTCTTCATTTCAGACAATCAGAAGCCATTTCCTCAAAGGAAGACAGAGGAATGTAATTAGAATTTAGGTTTTGCTAAAGTTTATTCTTGTACATCAACAGGGATCTTTCCACTTTCCAAGAACTGTTATACACTTGGCTGTACATGAGGATCTTTGGTGTCCTTTCACCACTCATGCGCACAGCCTGACCAACCCAGTGAAGTTTCGATCATAATACTAATATTTCTATGTCTTTAATTTCATAGATTAATAGTAAATATTTAGTCTTATGGCAGGCATGAAACAGATTAATATGGTTTTGGTAATATATATATATATGTGTGTGTGCGTGTATATATATATATATATATATATATATATATATATATATATATATATATATATAGTGAACATTGAAGTCAACACTAAGAGGTGACAGGCTGTTTCATGCTAGATACAATCATCAGGCTGCCTGATGATTGTGTCTAGCATGAAACAGCCTGCCAAATCTAAGTGTTGACTCCAATGTTCACTTTTACATTTATATTTACATATGCTTTATCTCTGATATTGAGCACTTTATCCCATAAATATAGCACACCTTAAAACTATATTTCTTCATATATATGTGTTGTGTATGATACACCTAATTTACATAAGCGGACTACCGACCATATAAATATGGGTTGGTACCGAAGACAGGGAAGATAGTAGAGATTAAGAAATTGAATCCAGAGACTCTGCCGACACTGCGATTTAGTCAACCCATTATGCAGGAACAGTCTTCCCAAGAATATACCAAACTAACTGTAAATATTGTGTACCTATTCTTTGTTTCAATACATTTTGTTAACGTACATTTTGTGTTGTATTATTCCATGCTTATTTAAGCTTCAACAATATGTATATGTATATATGTGGTGTACTTTGGCAGCAAGAATTCAATCAAATATGTTGGGTTGAATGATATCAACAAGTTCAAATTTTTTATTAATTTTTTCAAGATTAGACTCTATAGGTATGGATACGTCCAGTGTAGTGATGACATAGCTATGCTGTGTGGAGTGTTTCCTAGACTGAAGGCCAGAGTGGATGATTTCCCAATGGAATCAATGGCCAAGTGTCCATGACCAAGCTGATCCTTCCGTCTGGAAGACATTGGCTGTGGTTTTGAAGAGGGATGGGCACCGCCAGGTCTTACTTGCCAAATAAATGCTGTGTATCAATGATTATCTCTCCCACTTTCAACCCAAATATGTGGAGTAAGCTGATCAGGTACTCATCTGCATAGTGACCCTATGAAAAAAAAAAAAAAAAAAAAAAACTGGCCTAGATTGAGAAGTCCTACTAAATAAAAATGTGCCTCCCCAAAGCAATTGGGCCTGTATACTTGTTTTTTTTTTTTCCATCAGGGAAAACACTCTTACAGCTGATCAAGATGGTCTCCCATATTGGTAACGGCATGCTTTGGCTATAGGAGTATTTTATGGCATGCTTTGGCTATAGGAGTATTTTCCCTGATGGAAAAAAGGAATATATGTTTGATTTCTATCAGTAGTCACATTCTTCTTCAGTCGGACTGTTTCATCTAGGCCAGTTATTAATTTCACTGTTTAAGAAAATAAAAGACAGGTATACCCACTAATAATTATGTTAACTAACCAAATCCCTCAACAACTCTCTTAATAATAACTTAAAAATAATCAAGCAGGCAATGTTATTTTATTTATATTAACTGGATTTTTAACAACTGCCTTACTTGGTTTAAAAAATGGGGCTTTTATCGTGTTTATCATTGCTATTTGGCCTTTTGGCTGGGATCAAAGTGTATTATCTGCCTTCAAGTGGGTAAACTGCATTTCATCTTTCAGTTGTGTTTCTGTCTGATTACAGAGCACAACTGAAAATATTATCTGGTTTTGGGAAATAGTTGCCTGTAGCAATAACTTCCTCATTGGACTAAAGTGTGTGGATTGTTAGTAATACTGATGACAGTGCAACCAACTTTTGGACTTGCCTGTATACATGCTCTCTGATTATCCACATTAAACTGACCTTGTATCACATCCTGTCAGTGTGGGGTAGCAAAAAAATACAATCACTTCTCAATCTTTTGGCTAGGATCAAAGTGTAGTATCTTTTCTTATCAGTATAACCTTATCCTTTCTTTCTATTTTTATCTTCCCTTCTTTCTTTCATTTTCTTGCTGAAATCAAGTAAAGTCTTTTCCTCTCTTCCCAAACAATCAAAATGGAATATTCTATTATTTATGAGGTATTGACAGGGTCTAATGGTTGTGCTAACTTATGATGGAAGGAACATGCACAATTATAATAGGACTCTATGAAAAACTTTCTTTCATCTTGCTTATAAAGCCAAATGGTAACAAAATCATGCATACAATATAATTATTTCTTGCTTGAATTTTATTAAATGGGGTGTTTTAATCCTTTTATATGATTGGTTTGGACTAATTTTCTTATCTTGAACTTTTCCTCCATCTAACCTTTTAACTATGTACTCCTTTACCTTCTTTTGGTGTCTGTTGTATCCTAGAATGCCATTGAATCTTGTTCTATAAAATTTTATGTATAAACATATATTTTTATTTGAAGCAAGCTAAGTAATTGTTGTGGTAAACCCTCCTACAGTAGAATGAACTATTCCTCCTCTCATAAATACTAACCGTTAGATTTCTTAGGGCAGTCAGCGTCCTGGGTAAGACGTTAAACTACATCCGCGTCCTGGGTAAGACGTTAAACTGCGTCCAGCAGCAAGGAGGTTTTGAGGAGCATGGAACCACCTCTTAATTGCTGGTGTTCCCAGGTTCACCCTGATCCGGGGTGGTAGCACCTGTTAGGGTCCCAGCTATGGGCAAATAGTTAACTATTACCAGCAATACTTTTTTGAAAAAAATTATTACCAGCAATACAATTTTGAAGGAAATATATTACCAGAAACAGATTTTTGACAAAACAAAATATTACCAGCAATAAAAATTTTTGTCAGCATTAAATAACCCATTGAGGTTGATATGCTGTAAAACAAAATAAATCTAACCAATCTAAACCAAAGAATACATATTCTATTCATACAAATCTATCCTAAAAATGTTGTCGGCATTAAATAACCCATTGAGGTTGATATGCCATGAAACAAAATAAACCAAAACAAATCCTAGGGCAGTCGGTTGGGAAGCGGAGAAGCAGTGTTAACCTACCGTTCAGACGTACGTCTCTATCTGCTTATTACTAACACTCTTGCTTTGTGTATATCTGTTATTTCAATACACCTGTTCAACCTACCTTCGTCTTCCATGTCTTTCTTTCTTTCTGGTCCCTAAACAGGTCACAACAGTTCAGTATATCAAGCATGAAATCATATTTATAAAGGCATAAATCCATTTCCTTCTTTCTCCCCTTCAATATATCCTGTGAGTATCAGATTCTCTGGGCCCTCTTTTCTCATTATGCATCCTAGAAATTTCAACTCTTTCTGATTTTATGTATAATTTTCCTTTTTGTTTACATTTACCTTAAAACTTTCTTGTTGTTCACATGTTCAGTTTATGCTATTCTCAGCATCCTCCTGTAGAACCACAGTTTCTGTTGCTGCAAGTCACTTCTTCATTTTTGAGAAGCTAGATTACTGAAATGTTTTAGCAGAAATTATTTAAATTGCTTTATCTTTATGCAGGTACTTCACTGACAAATTGTCCAAATTACCCCTTCGTGGTTTTGAACAGGAACTCAACCTGCAGGAACAGAATCGTATTGAGTATTTGCAGAGTTTGGTCATGTTGTATCAGCCAGATGATATTTGGTTCTGTTACCAGGTGAGTAAATATTTATTCCACTTTATGAAATTTCAATTTGTTTCAAGTCTATTTAAAAGTCTTACAAAACTGACATTATATTCTCAAATCTTAATATTATGAAACTGCAAAGAATGCTTTCCATGCTGATAAATATCTGAGAAGTCCAAAGGTACATTGGAATTGTGAAAGATGCCCTTCAAAAGTTAAGTAAAGTATTAAGAAACAAGAAAATTTCATTAAAAACAAAGAAATCTGTGCTTTCAGAAGAATTTTGACTTTTATACATGACAGTGCTCCATCATATTTGTTGACGGAAACTAATGAATATTTAAATAAAATGTCTGTAGTGATATGCAAATTAGTATAATTTGCATATGAGCAGGTAGCTCATATATAATAAATGGACACCAACGAGAACGGAAGTGGGAATAAGAACTTAGAGGATACACGACATAACAATGGCGTCGCCGATAGGATACTCTTTGGTCCTTGAAGACCCAGAGCGTGAGACACGTGGATTCGTTGCTTTGCTGCTAATGCTAGATGTAAAAAGTTGAAAGACAACAAAAAACAGAGGAGGGGAAATGAAATCACCGACTTGTTCATGGCTACCGCTGGTTGTGAAGCGATTATGAAGGTTGCTACAATGGTTTACCCTCGAGAACTAGAAGAAATGACTTTCAAGAAATAAGTCAGGTTATTAAAGGAAACATGAGGCCAAAGAAAAGACTGGTGATTGCAGAAAGGACCAAGTTTATGGCAATGAAGCAGGAAGTGGATGAACCGATAGTAAAATATTTTAAGAAGTGCGAAAATACTGTGAATTGAAAAACTAGGAACAGGCAAGCAGACAACGGAAGAAGAATTAATCAACTAAGATTAATTGAAGGTATGCATAATTCGGCACATAGATATAAGTTAATGGAACAGTTACAACTTACAAACATGCCTTTGAATATGTGTATAGAATTTATACAACAGCAGGAATTAATACATACCTACAACCAAAATAAAAAATAAATCCTCTGACGAAATAATGGCTGAAACGTATACGGTACAAACAAAAAGAAAAAATTGTGCGTATTGTGGAAAAATTCATGAAATGAAAAAGAAAAATGCCCAGCCTTTGGAAAGACGTGTTCAAAGTGTTTAAAAAAATCACTTCAAAGAAGTATGTAAAACGAAAAAATGTGGAAAGAGTAGAGGATGAAAATAGACAGATTTTTAATGTAAAAAAGGATAATATACAAAATACTGGATCTAAGAACGGAGATACAAAAATAAAAGTGAAAATCAACGACTGTATTGTCGAAATGCAAATCGACACAGGTAGTGACGTCACGATAGTACCCAGAAATTTGTGGGAAAAAATGGGAAAACCGTTTTTAAAAAAAACCAACGATACAACTACGTCAGTTTGATGGCTCGATTATAGCAATTATGGGTTACTTTGAAGGTTCAATAGAATTAAAAAAAAATATGAAATAGTACCCATTATAGTTACAAATTGCCAAAAACGCATGGACTACTGGGGAATGACGTGTTAAAAATAAATTCAACGAAGTTGATTAATGAGATAGAAATAGAAAAACAGGAAAATTAAAAAACTATGAAGCTAGCCTGAAATTAAAAGATGTTTCCCCCTCCTACTACTAAAGCGAGAAAAAAATACCAGTGCATTTATTACCATTGGTAATAGCTAAATTCGCAAAGCTAATAAAGGAAGACTTATTAGAACCTGCCACTCCAGGAGGAAGTAAATGGGCATCACCCATCGTGGTATTAAAAAAAAAGATGGTGACCTGAGAATTTGTGGAGATTATAAAATAGGGGTGAACCATAAAGTTTGTGCTGACTCGCACCCTATTCCAAATGTGGAAGTAGCTTTACATAAGCTTGCTGGAATGAAAGTATTTTCAAGGTAGACCTAAAATCAGCTTACCACCAAATACCGATAAATGAAAATTTTAAAGAAGTGACGACTATAAACACACCTATAGGCCTGTTAAGGTGGAAAAGAATGCCGTATGGCATAAAAAATCTGCAAGTGCAATTTTTTCAAAAAGCTATTGAAAAAGTAATAGGAAATGTTGAAAATACCATCTGTTATCAAGACGATATATGTGTTGGAGATTTAAATGAAGATGATTTAAAGAAAAAAAAAAACTGAAAATATACTGAACCGGCTGAGAGACGCTGGTATGACAATAAATACAAAAAAAGTGTAACCAACAGTAATGAAATATCATTTTGGGTTACTCAATATCAAAGGAAGGATCTCTCAGATAAAGTACTAATAGAGAAAATTCTAAAAGTTGCTACACCAAAAAAAAAAAAAATTGAGTCCTTCTTAGGTTTGGTAAATTTTTATAGAAAATATGTACCAAAATATAATGAGTTGACAGAGCCATTTGCTAAGTTAAGAAAAAAAAAAAAATGTGGAATTCATTTGGTTAGAACACCAACAGAAAGCCTTTGAAAACTTAAAACAGATTCTAGCAAAAAGCCAATAGTACAAATTTTTGACCCTAAGAAGAACATAACTCTAACTACTGACGCTAGTGAGCAGTCCATATCTGGTATTTTGTCACAAGATGGGCATCCCATAATGTACTTATCAAGGAGATTAACAACAACTGAACACAATTATTCGAATATAGAAAGGGAGGCACTAGCCATAGTGTGGACAACGATAGAGCAAGACAGTTTTTGATGGGGAAAAAATTCTTGTTGGAAAGTGATCATAGACCACTGGAATTTATTTTCAACCCAAGAAAAGAGCTACCAAAAGTTACAACGTCCAGAATATTACGTTGGGCGATTAGACTGATGGCGTTCGACTTTGACATTGAATATGTTAAAGGAATACGATACCCGCACGTTGATGCCTTATCTAGATTGAGGTTTTATAGAGAGGAGGACAAAACGACGAGGAATTTGAAGACACATTCTTGCACCTTGTAGAAACCGATGTAATATCTGTAGATAAAATGGCTACTGAAACTACAAATGACCCAGTGTTAAATAGAATAATGTCGAGGATAAAACAGAATCGCTGGGGAAATTGTTCAATGGCTGAAAGACCATTCAAAGAAATTAGACATAGAATGACTATAGAAAACGGGATAATATGTAATGGAGACTTGGTAGTTCCCCAGAAACACAGAGGAGACAGGTTATAAAAAGTGTACACGATGACGTACATTGTGGAGTGGCAGCTACGCAAAGAAGATTAAAATTGGAAGCCTGGTGGCGGGGTACTCAAGAGACGTGAAGACTACGTAAAAAGATGCAAAAAATGCACAGAACTCAGGAATTTTAAGCAAAAGAAAATACATGTATGGCCCTGAGAAGTAGAACCATGGAGCAGAGTACACATGGACCATGCCTATGTCAATGGGATAGGACTATTATTAATATTAGTAGACGATATTCAGGTTGGCCTGAAGTGGTGAGAGTACCTGATAAAAAAAAGTACCACCGTAAAACAAATATTAAGAGTAATATTTTTTTTAGGAATGGGACACCGAGAACACTGGTGACTGATAACGCACCAGAATTTGTGGATGCTGATTTGCATGAATGGCTAAGAAAAATAGGATGCAGACCTTACAAGACCCTCCCCTACCACCCTCAAAGTAATGGGGCAGCGGAAAGGATGGTCCAGACGGTAAAGAAGGGCATAAAAAAGCATGCTTGCAACAGAAGGAGGAAATCGATGCTTTCCTACCAAGATTACTATTAAGTTACAGAACAATTCCACATGCAGGCAGGCCGGAAAGTCCATCTGCCTTAATGGGCAGACAATTAAGGTCCCTTTGACTATGTCATATGCCACAAATCAAAAAGATGTGGTACAAAAAGAAATAGGAATATGCAACCAGAGTCAGCCGAATTTATTATGCAGAAAGGACATAATACTGCAATATTAAATAAAGAAAATGGGAACAGTGTTCTAGCTCATGCTGACCAAATAAGATCCCAAGGAGAAGAATCTGATGAGGAAATGCCTTCAGAGATGCCCATTATTGATGTATCAGAAGAGTTAATGCAGAATGAAACTGCGGAGGAAGAAGTAGAGAGAGATGAGTTAGAAGAGGAAGACCAGAGTATGCAAGAGGAACAATTCGATTATAGGGAAAGACGTGATAGATCTAGATCTCCAAGGGAAAGGAGAGAGATAAAGGAAGATGTTCAGGAGGGCACAAGAAGAAGTACAAGAAGTACTCGCGGCATAAGGCCCCTCCGTTATAGGGAGATGTAGTGATATGCAAATTAGTATAATTTGCATATGAGCAGGTAGCTCATATATAATAAATGGACACCAACGAGAACGGAAGTGGGAATAAGAACTTAGAGGATACACGACATAACAATGTCTTTCAGTGACACTTGTTTGATAGAGTGGCTGAATTGTTTACCAAACCATAACCCAACAAAAAATTTATTGAAAATTTCAATGAAGATGGTTTAGATTTGTAAATGGTAATTTAGTAGCAAAGATGTACTTTTTAATACTATTTTGGATGCAATGCTGTCTGTTTGATATTAAGAAATATAATAGCTCACAAAATCAATGGAAGGATGACTATTTTCAGGACATGATGCATTCATTTCCCATTAATTGTGTCTTTATAAATTCATCATCACGGTGGTTTCAATTTTTTGTTCAAAATATTTTTTTTGTAAACTTTCTGCATGTTCTGAAACTGTAGGTTTTAATTATAACATAATGTTTCTGGGAATTTTAGTAACTTGGTTAATAAGCTAAAACTTTGAAAACCCTGTACAATTCATAAAACTGTTGCCACATTTTAAGAGTAATGTGTAGCTGACTATAATTTATATATTATACCAGGGCTTCAGAGTCATGGAGTTTGAGACAAAGACAATTAAGGGGTCACTGAAGTCAGTCAGTAAAACTATACTGACTCTGACTCCGGTTGAATTTACACTTTATATAAAAATTCTTACATTATAGAATTTTTATTGTTATTTCTTCTACTGTATATTTACTATTTACTTTAAAGAAATTCATCTCAACTTCTTTTTTAAAGTCATTTTATTTTTTTGTAGTTATTTTGTATTTGCAAAACTATATATGTAAAAAAAATCTTACATTACAGAAATTTTATTTTTGCTATGTCTTTTACATCCTGTAAAAGATTATATTTCAACTTCTGTTATAAAGTAGTTTTATTTTTGTTCTGTACTTATTTCTTATTTGCAAAGATATGTAAAAAGTCTTCCATTACAGTATTTTTATTATTATTTCTTCTATATCCTTGCAAAGATTTTGTCTCTAATTCTGTTAGAAAATATCGATGAATGAATAGGTATGATACAAAAGCCACAATATCTTTATTATTTGATATAAACCAGTTATAGTGATATAGGCCTGCAAGGAGCATATGCATAGGCTTTGAGTTTTGTAGGCCATAATCACTTAATTACATAAACAGGAGTCAGTTGGAGGTGCCAAAAATAGAGGAGATGAAGTCAAAGGTTTTGTGTTCCGACTCCACAGTTCTATATTATACAATATAGGGCAAATATTTCCATGGAACATTTCATTAGTTTTTTTTTTTTTAAGAAGCTAATAGTATGAGATATGTGTTTATATAGGGTCTGCTGAAAAGGGCATGATTCAATACACTTTATCAAATTTTTGAAGGATTTCTTGGACAGGCTGAGAATTCAGTATCTTTTCTTTATAAATCTTAGTTCATGCCAAAAGTTAATATATTTTTCCCAGGTTTTTTGTATCGAATTAAAGGTAAATCCTCATCTCGTTTTTAGGATGGCTCGGAAGCAAGAAATTCATTTTAGCCTTTTCTGAAATAAATCCAAGGCAAATCCTCATCCAATCCTTCAGAATAAAAGATTTATATATTTTTAGGTCTATCCATGTCTTTTCTGTGTTAATGATATGTGTTTAAAATAGGATATAGAATCCTGACAAAGCTGGGAAAAATATCTTAACAACTTTCGACATAAAGTAAGAATTATAAAGAAAAGATACAGGATAAATATTAATGGCTTTTTTTTTAAAGTAACTCATTTTCTTTCTTTAACCACAAGAAATGCCAGCCTAGTGAAAAAGTACTATGATTCATTATTTAAACATGCACACAAATACACACAATTCTTTCTTTTGTGTTTGGATTTGATGAAGCCTAGAATGGTGAAATGCATAATCAAATCTATTTTCAGTGACATGTTTTCCATTTGTCAAATTTCTTAAAAACTTTGTCAGGATTCAATATCCTATTTTAAACACACACACACATATTTATATAGTAATGAGAAATAATATTGGATTCAAAAATCCATTTAAAAATTAATTACTCTTAACATTTTGGACACAAAATGAAGCAAGCAGATCTAGATTCAAAGAAATCTCAATGGGAGGTGTGCATTCATTAAGTAAGCAATTGAGTCTTGTCTTATCATATGACAATCTTTCATGGCCTAATTGGTGACAGCATGCTTTGGATATATATATATATATATTTTACATAACAGAGAAATGCAAAATTACCTCATGAGTATAGACTATTTCAACTAATGCTGAATGTGTCAGCCTTAGACGGTGGACAGTATTCAATGTCAGAACTAGAGATATAAATTTAATATTTAACAAAGACAGCAGTTGAAAAATTGATACAGAGCCAACCCATAACATAGCAGACAGGGTAGACTGCCCATGTGGTGGTAAGGGGAAGGTGGAAGTTATCTGTCTTAAAAGGAAAGAAGCTACACAAATTCAACCCAGATATTAACCTTAAGACTCCAAATTGGGGTTATAAGAAAGATAAAGTGAAGGCTGAAAAAAAGAAGTTTTATAAAATGAAATTTTTGATTATTAATTATATAAAAAAAAAATTTTCCTTTAAAAAAAATTGCCAAAATATACTTGCAAATAAGATATAATAAGATTAAAAATAGATCATTTATAGATAATTTAAATTAAGAAATTAATGAATAAAAAAGTAAAAATAATTATATTAACCATTTTTAAAATTTTAAAGATAAGTTAAATTATCAAGAATACAAACTATATCCAGTAATATATAGAAAAAAAAACAAAAAGTCTTTAGAAAATAAAAGGATAAGGAATTTAAGTAAACAAAGAAAAGGGAGTTCATAAAATAGTGGAAGATTATAAGAGAGGTTTGATATGTATTAGGTTGGTGCAAAAATAATGACGTAATGATGTCGTTTTTTGACGTTAAAAAATACGTCCAAAAACGACATTATTACGTCATTATTTTTGCACCAACCTAATAGAAGGTAAAATATAGAAATAACTATAGTATTAGGTTGGTGCAAAAATAATGACGTAATAATGTTGTTTTTGACGCTAAAAATACATCACAAAACAACATTATTACGTCATTATTTTTGCACCAACCTAATAATATGTTTAACATTAGAAGGATTTGATAATAATTGGTATTGTTTCTTTCCTTTCTTATGTATTTATTTATATATTTATTTGTTTTGTATATTTATGACAAATCTATTTAAGAATTTAAGAATTTGTCTTTGTGTCTGCATTTGAAAGTGAGCCCTGATCTCTTATTTAAGAGTTTATCTTGTTCTGAAAAGATAATCATGGCTATTTTCTCTTCTATGTAAAAGGTTAGTTTGCTTTGTAGTGTAAGTTACTGTTGTTTTACTTATTTTCCATGTTATCTTACATGTAGTTTAACACATTAACAGTGAGCAGATTCTTGTCAATATTAAACAAAAGCAAGAATAGTTAATAGATAAAGGTTAAAAAAAAACTTATTTTTCCGATTTCAACATTTGCAGATACATTGCTTGTCAGAGTCAGATAAATCTATTGAATTCATTAACAGATATCATATATACAATACATAAAAATGCTAATTATTGCCAATAAACCAATTTCAAACATGTTCTGTACTAAATATTGTTATCATGTGACATTTAAATCTTCTAAAAATGTTATAACTTGGCAACCTTTAAATTGTTTGATTTTTATATTTTTCACCATTATAAAAGGTATTTGTGTAATAATAATACATCAGCACCATTGAGATTATAGTCATTGTGAACTCCATCATCTTGTTGGTGACTGCATATGCACTATGTCCTTCTAGATTGTGACCAACCATAGTTAGAGAGCCAAATCAGCCCTGCAATGTGTATAATGGTAATAGTTATATTAGCTGTTTCCTTATAAGGAAACATTTAGCATTCATTGTCTGAGCAGCCATTACTACTGTCAGTTGAAATTAATAAAATCTTCTCTTAAAATTTTTTTCAGGTAAATAGGTTTCTTGAATCCAGTAACTGTTATTGCTCTTTCCAATATTGATAGGGGATTCCTTTGTAAACTTTTGTTTGAAAAATGTCAAATTCTTGATTATGTCATTTTCTCTTTCTATCCATTTTAGCTTTTTGCTGTTGTTGAAAGTCTTTAAGTGATGTCGTTTCCATTACTTAGTAAAGTTCTTTGTGATTCCATAGTGCTGCTCCAGGCTTACAGGCTTCATTTGCTCAAAGCTACTTTTAATCATCAATCTGAGAAAGTGGTTCTATACAGTTGAGAGTTTAGATATTTCTAAATGAATTTGGCACCATACATGGCATTCATTTGAAAATCTTAATCTGACAAGGTTATTTAAAAACTGACTGTTTTCAGGTTAATAACAACCAACTGAAGAAGGCCGGAGCGTACAACAGCCGAAACATTGTAATAAATATGGCGACAAAGATGAGGACAATAGTCTGACTAATGTAAATAGAGTACATAATACTTCATCTCTGAAATATAGACAGATCATAGTTTTTGTTTTGGAAAAGTTTACCTTGAGTCCCATTTCTTGAACACTTGGTTGAGGATGTTGATTTTTTTTGTTCATGATCATTCTTATTGACCAAAGGTTTTGAATCTCATACTTTCATACAAATTCCTGATATTATCTTTATGACAAATTTTTTTTTTAATCAACTCCTGTTGTCTATTTTCCAGATGCTGCGTGTTCAACAGCTCGAGACTTACTTCAATAGTCTGTTGCCGCAATCAGGAGAAGATGAAAAACTGGACATAGCAGCCATCACCAAAAACTGTTCTATGTTGGCTGCTTTGATTACTGGGATGATTGATGAAGACTTTGCCATCCTCACTACAGGAATATTCAAGAAAGCATCCAGCACATTCAAGGCCATCCATGACCTCTATCTTGATAAGTACGCTGATGAGATGTCAGCACTCATTGAAGAAATCTATGATGATCTGAAAGATATCATACATAGAAACTCTGCCCAGTCTTCGAGTGAGTTCCTTTTTGATGCCAACCATAAGAAACCCTTGTTGAAAGGCTACTCAAGTACGGCTGAACAGGGCTTACTGAGTGCAGGCGGACGAAGAGGTAGCCACAGTCGCAAAGCTTCTATTGTTATCTCTCGGCATTATCTGCAGTCCTTGCGGGACATCCTTCTCTCGGTTTTTCACATCGATGAGCACATTGACTATCTTTACAAAATGGCTACCACCAGCGGGAGCAGCACTATCAGCAACAAGAGACGTGGATCTAAAGGAAGCCTTCGAGGTAACACAGTATTCAGATTTCTGAGATGAATGTTCAGGAAATTCGCAACTATCACATTCACACTGCAGGCCCTTATATTCTGTGGTCTGTCCAGAAAGTATAAAGCTACATATATACATAGTCATGTTTTTTTTTTTTTTGGTCAGGCAGGACCGGGATTAATCTTGCACAAATCAAGGTGGGTCCTGCCTGACAAAGAATTTATCATAATGAGTTGAGGCAAGTTTTTACAAGGCTGGATGCTCTTTCTAATACCCAACTCAGACACTCCACTCATGGTAGTCCAATACACGGAGTGTTTTTATCGAAAAACCATCTCTAAGAGGGTTGTCATTGAGACCCTATACTAGCCTTATATATATATATATATATATATATTTGGATTGATGTGAGTTTGTGACCCTGGGTTTCACGCTATTTGCAATCATCAGACAAATTGATTAATTTTTAAATTTTGTATTTATATATGATTGAGTATATCAGTGTTTTTATGGTAGTAGGAGGAAAAATTGTTGTCGGAAACTCACTCATACATACATGCATGTTTACTCATTGACAGGCACAGACATACATACATGCATGCCCAAACATTAGAGCTCATGCAAACATAAATATATGTAGACAGTGTGCGACCTGACACATATGCACATCCATGTGTCATTGCGTACATACATACGCAATTGGTCACTGCATTCATTGTTGCATTGTTTGGCGAATATCTTTTGTTAGTTGGCATGTCATCGTGCAGATCGTTCCCCTATTTTGTTTGGTGAATAATGTTTGCTCGCACACACGTATGTACACTTGTTCACACATCTATCCGTCTGTGAATATTTTTTTTCATGATGGGGTCTGTGTAAGACTATGGTGGATAAAATTGCTATTATTTTAAATTTTTTAATGCTGTTTTGTTATTATTATAACTTTCTTTATTTTAATCTTTCCACGGTTGAAATTGCCAAAAACTTAAGTTGATTATTCTGAAAGAAAAAGAAAAAAAATCATTAGATGCTTAAACTTAATTCATATTTAAAATCGGTCCAAGTTATTGGAACTCCCTTTATTTAATCTCCTTACATTCTATAGATCACAATAATCTATTTTAATCTCTATACCCATAAAAGTAAAATGTTTTTGGTGTGCATATATATATATATATATATATATATATATATATAACAACCTATTTTTCTTTTTGTTTGTCTATCCTGCAGGAGTGCTGAAGTCTGTTAGTCCAGAAGTGCTTCGTCGGAAAGGCAGTAACAGCAGTGAAGGCTCTACATCCGAATCATCCTCAATGAGGTCCCAGAGTCCCCTGCTTGATTGTCGACCTGCCCCCAAAGGTAAATCAGAGATGGAGAAAGGCTTTTGTTTTTGTTTCTTTTTTATTGATGCACAAACATATTTAATACATTAAGTTCATGTCTCTGTCAATGTTCCAGATCTTCCATTGCTGGAATATTTATTTATATAATTTTGGCTATATAGGTGGATACAGCATTGATTTTTAAACTCTGGAGTCATAAAGTATAATTGGTTCTAAAATATAACATTTAAATTCTAAGATAAATATACGCAAAAAAATAAAATAAAATACAGGGCGTTCCAGAAGTCACCTGGGGAGTTAAAAATTTAATAATTCAACATTTTCTTATTATTCAAAAATAATTTTATGCAGAATGAAAATTCAAACATTGGAAATATGTTTCTGTTTAATTATGAAAAAATACAAGACCTAAATATCCTTCATTTTTACTTCACACAGACATGCTCTTTCAATAGCATTCTCTGTAAAAGTGGTTGCTAATTCTGGCTGCAGTCTTCAAATTTTTACACCAATGTTATCCTTGATTTGCTGAATTGTCTGTAATCTTTACACATTCCTTAAGGTGTCTCCCCACCACACACACAGAATAAATAACCAGGAGGTGTCAGGTCAGGTGAATATGGTCACCATAAAACTTTGTATTTTCCCAAAATTAGATCAATTGAATAAATCCAAAATATAAGTCCATGATTTTGGTTCTTTGTTCAATTGTGAATTTTTCCATGGGTTATTTTCCTTTGTTAATATAAGTTCTGAAATAAAAATATGAAAAATGACATTTTTAAATATTTTTTAAGACACCCTGTATTTATTAAATACTAGCAGTAGAGCCTGGCGTTGCCCGGGGATGTAACAGTAAGAGATAGATCAAGTATCGACCATCATAAAGACTGAAAAATAAGATTGACAAAGATTGTTTAAGGTTGATGGACACGCATGTCTTAATTAGTTTTTTTTTTTTTACGAATTGGTCAAACCCAAACTCAAACAAAAACATTGTTTTCAATCGTTATGAGTCTATCGATTGAATAGATTTTTATTATAAACAATTGTCTTGTAAATGGAATTTTTAAAGCATTCTGAATGTAAAAATAAAGAAAAAAGTGTGCAAGACAATAAGAAACACTACCTGCTAAAAAAAAAAGTGAAGTTTTGTTGAAATCGGTTGAAAAATGTAGGAAATCTGATCCCATATATAAAGGAACACACACACACACACAAACAACCTGGGTTTTATAATAAGTATAACTCGATATGAGTTGTCCCCCTTTCATTCTTGTGATAGCGATGCCTCTTAATCGTGTTTTCAAATTGATTTCATGTAAAAACAATTGTGTTTTTCCAATTTTTGGTGCTGTCAGAACCACTGCAAGGTAATTTTACATAGTCCTGTGAAGTTTTGTTGAAATCGGTTGAAAAATGTAGGAAATCCGATCCAATATATAAACATACAGATACACACACACACAACCTGGGTTTTATAATAAGTATGATCATAGGAGGCTAGTATTAAGAACTTTTTTTTTTCTGATAATTTTCTATGATTTTCAAAAGGTTCTGAGTTTTAACTTTCAAATTCAAATATTTTAATCATTCTGTATTCAAGGAAAACCAATCTTTGTTTAAACCTCATTTGAGGCTGGGTTAAAGGAATTGATCCTTGTTTTATTTCTGAAATACTCAAACAAAAGGATTTGTACTTACATTTTTTAAAAATCATTCCACCCTAAGCAAAGTAATAAAGGCACTAAGACACAATGAGTTACTGAAAATGAATGACAATAGCGTGAAGGAAATGGATAAAATGTTACTGAAGAGAAACGACAATAAAAGGAACAGGATTCAGAAACAGAAGATGACTACTGACATTGCATTTAAATTTTTGAAGATTGTAGTTGACAGGAAAGTGTGGAGTAATTGGCCATGGTTAAGTGTAATTGGCAAAAATGCTCAACAAATGGAATTGACAAAGTTCTTAATAAGCAATAAGAAAAAGAAAAGGGTAAAGTAAAACTAAGCAAACAATATATATTTAAGAGAAAAGGGGGCAAAAAGTTCACAAAATAAGAATTGTGTTCACACACAAAAGGGATACAGTCAAGTGATTGTAGTATTCTGACTTCAATGCAAGAAAAAACAAAAATATGGCAGATGAAATTGAGAAGTGATCTATTTTTATTTTTATCTATTTTTATATATGTTTCTAGCCATACAAGAAACTACATCTAGAAATGTCTGGTTTCTAGCTGTATAAGAGTCTATCTCTATATCCAGAAATATCTAGTAGATTAGACACTCTTGTATGGCTTGTTCTATCACTTTTTCTTTTTGATATATTTTCAGTTCTTTTTGTTTGATGTCTCTTGTTAGCATTGTTATGGATCTGGTTTTTAATCATAAATTATATTAATAATAAATCAAATAAAATATTTTTGTTGTCTTTTTGATGTCTATACTTTTTGAATTTAAGAACAGTACAAGACTGGCATCGAGATCTCTGTAATTGTTGTGAGCAAGATACACAACATCATGCCTGAAAACGTCCACGCATTGCATACGTATGTTGTCGCAGAGCAATTGAAGGAAAGGAGAATTGGCGGAGTACGCCTACGCAGATGTAAAACTCTCTCACTCAACCAATCGACTGCTTCGTCATGGTCTATAAGATGAGTGTGCTTGAAGGCTTTGGCAGTTGGAGCTGAGAGAGTCGACGAGAGATGACTGCCTTGTTCCAGTGGGTCCTTTTTGGCGTGATGGCTACAATCTCATCAATGTTCAGTTGAGCTGGCTAAATGTAGCCATAAATTCTATGCTAACAGTTTCTTTTCTCATGCATCTCACTTGTGGAACTTCCTTCTGACTCCATGCTTTCCAGGCAGCTTTAATCTTCAAAATTTAAATGCAATGTCAATCACTATCTACAGTCCTCCTGATTACTCTTTTCTCTTCCATTAGTAATGTTTCTGATCTTAATTCTTCCACACCCAGTAACCCTTGTGTCTTAGTGGCTTTACTACCTTGCTTGATTAAGAAAAGAAAAAAAAAAGGATAACAATATTAGTTTAAATCAGTAGGTTCTCAACCATAGTCTATATGGACTCTAGGTTCCATGTAACATTAATGGAGGTCCCTACAAAATAATACCAAATTGGGTGTACACTGTAATATTTTAGTGGTCCATAGAGCAATTTCACTTCAGAACTGTTGTTACAACTGAGAAATGGAATTTCTACTGTAATCTACACCATATTAAAATACTAAAAATAGAAAAATAACCTTAAATCTAGCAAGATCAAACAATGTAAGTTTTAGCATACCTTTTACTCTACTAGATGTTTTGATTGTGAAATTTGAATAAAGACTGAGAAAGATAAATAAAGGAAGGATTATATATATTAGGTTGGTGCAAAAATAATGATGTAAGAATGTCGTTTTTTGACGTTAAAAAATACGTCAAAAAACGACATTAATACGTCATTATTTTTTCACCAACCTAATAAAAGGAAAATTATATGAAGATTACAATTTATTTTATAAATTAATTTAATATGTTTATTTATAAATTACTAATTTAAATATTAATAAAATAAGATAAAATATTAATATCGACTATTAAAAAAATATTAATAATAAAATTAATTTAATATATAAATTATATAAGGATTATATATAAAGGAAGCATATACATTTACGAATTCTATAATACAATTCCTAAAATTATCTATTAGTAAAAAATAAAAAAAGTTTTATTTTCATCAACTGGTTATGGGGGTCCACAAAAAAAATTAAGAGTATAAGTGGTTTATGTATAAAAAATGATTGGGAACCACCGGTTTAAATGAATTGCCACATCAAATATGGAGGTTAAAATGTCTGTAACTAATTCTTTAATATAAAATTCTGATTTTGTTTCCTCTTCACTTTGCAGTGATTGAAAAAACCAAAGTCGAAGAGAAGCCCATGTGGGAATGGAAGTTGATTTTCAAACTAATTGTTGCTGACCTTGTACAATGTGTTGAGCAAATTGTATGGACTAGTGCCAGTGCTGCCCTAGAGAAGGAGCAGAAAGACTGGGAGATTGCACACACTCTGGACGTTTTTGAACTACCAAGAGAAATGGTATCTGGGCGTCTTGATTATCCACGTGTAATATCAAAGGTGAGCAGTTCATTTCTCTTTGTTTAAAATTGAAAAAATGAGTTCCTCTATGTCACGAAGGGATTATTGTTTAACAATGCCAAAAATACATGCTAGAAACATGGAATTTTTAATATAGTTTAGCTATTCTCATGAGTGAAAGAGACTGGTCTGACTAGTTATTTAATTTTGTTTTGGTTCAACCGACTCACTGGTATTTTATTTTATTTTCCACTTTTTTCCAGCCTGCCTGTTTATTCTAACTTGTATATTTATTTCAACCTCCTCTACTCCATCTTTGTTTGGGAAAGAAATTAATTTTGTAAGAATTTTCCAACCTACCCTTTTATTCCACACTTACCCTTTTGTTTTGGATTTAAGAGTAGATACTGGTGATATGTATACAAGTTATGTTTCAAAAATTTCAAATTTATAGTTTTTTTTTTGCATCCCCATGTTGTTTTAATTACAGAGATGATATTTATTTAAATTTTAATTTTAGAAATGGTTAAATGAAAAGAAATTAGAAAATATCTTTTAAACTAACTCCTGTATATGTGTAGATGATATATATATATATATATATATATATATATATATATATAAATCTCATATTGCAGTATTATAGAGTTAGACTTAGTGTACAAACTAGTAGTCTACAACATCTTACTAAATATAAGCCTATCATATCTCAGCTTTGCACATAAGACCTTGGAGATATTTTTAGCAGTTTTTCAGAAAAGGTAGCTGGGACTTATATGCCATCAGATAAGGTATATATTGAGTTGGAACAAAAGTTCCTAGTATTCATTTTTAAGTGAATTTCAAAGACAATATTTACATATTTGTACATAGATTTATTCAACCACATATTTGCCATTTTGTTTCACTGCCTTTTGCCATCTCTGAGGCAGCTTCATGATCCCCCCCCCAACTTGGCATCTTTCTGGATGATAATCTAAGTGGCTTTTTACAGATTTTCCCAGAGAATTGAAGTTCTTCTCATTAAGAGAGTTTTGTAAGGATAAAAAAAAGTGCTAATCTGAAGGTGCATATTCAGATGAGTACAGCGAGTGTAGCAGAACATCCCAGTCAGGCTGCACCAATTTCTGTGGATTTGGCAAAGAGATGGGATGTCTGACATTGTCATCTGATTGGCCAATTTTAGACATTTTTCACCAATTGTTGCCTTTAATCAATCCAACTGGGAAAATGTCTGATTTTGTGGAATGAGTTTGTAATACATCGTGCCCTTCCAGTCCCACCAGATACATAAGCACCACCTTCTTTGGATGCAGACTGACTTTTGGAATCATTAACAGAGGTTCATTTTGTTTCTGCCAGAACCTTTTTCTGCTCCACCTTTTTGGAGACAATTCATTTTTCATTGCCTGTGATTGTTCTTTTCTAAAATGGAGAGATTTCGTTGAATTTGAACAGAGAATCTCAAATAGAAATGCAGTCAATTAAATGTTTTTTTCTCTTTTAACTCATGAGGCACCAAAACATCACAACATAGTGAACTGACTTTACTGGCAGCAGACTTAGCAATTGACACAATATAATCGTTCAACTTCATGTCAATGGAAGATATGAAACCAAGAAGGTGCAATGAATCACTCTCCTAGACGTTAACATGCTGATGGAATGCAAAACAGGTTCTTTGAGACAGTTTCATTTTGGAGGTATTAATATATTGGTGGTTGCTCTAGAGAAGTGAAAGTCATATTGTTTGCCTGAAAAAAGACCCTGCATGGTGAGATGCTTAACTAATTTGGAATTGATTATAGCCTTTAGTACTTTGCCAAAAAGAGGTAGAAAAATAATAGGACAATAATTTGAAGAGTTCTTAAAAACATGAATTGCAGAAGAGGATTTCCAACAATGTGGAAAGCAAGAAGCAGCAAGGCATCGATTATAGAGTTTGGAGAGAACAGGGAGTCAGTTCAGGGGTACATTTCTTAAGGACAATAGCAGGGATAAAATTGGGTTCACAAGCTTTGAGGGGAACAAGTTTGGAGATGATAGCATATTGATTTGATTGTTTAATGGTACATAAACTCCTTATGGGTCATTTAATGCTAAAATTTAAGATTTTGGAGAACTTTGAAGAATTAAAATATGTTATTCTGCTTTCACAGTTGAATACATGGTAGATGATACTCAACTTTTGTGTATATACCTGTTTGTAGGGACATGATTACTAGAGGGGGTGATAGGTGTGTTTTATATTGCAGTTTTGTAGCCAGAAAAAGTGATTACATAAATACTGTCTTTGCTGAGTAATAAAATTACGTTTTCCTCAATAGATGATTTTAAATTTTATTTTTCTAGACTATGCCCTGTGCATTTACAAAAACAGATGTGAAGAGATGGACACTGATCATTTAAGCATTCTGTACCACATCCCAAATCAATCCACTAAAAGAAAACAATCCTGCTTTACCTCTCGGGACCAGTGTACTGATAATGAGGTGGACAAGGCGCTGTGCTGATGACATAAGTATTCATTGTTGAAATAAAAATGATCTTGAACAAAAAAAAAAAAAATATTCTGTCAAATGTTTCAAAAAGTAGGACTCAAGATAAACTTTTCTAAAGCAGGAAATGATCTGGAATTGGAATAAAAGCAGTGATAACAACTACCTTGAATCCAACATAAAAATTTTGGATGTGAAATTAGTAAATACTAAACACTTCAAATACTTTAGTGTATGGATCAGTTACAACAAATTTAATATAGGAAAAAAGAAAACGAACATCAAATAGGCTGTGCTAGTGGTACTTTCGCACAAATTTCTACATGACCAAATCATTAACCTAAAAATTTGAGTCATGTTCTTAGTCTAGTTAGATCAAGACTTTCATATGGATGTCTTGCATGGCACCAAACCTATTCAGAAATATCTAAACGGTCTGCTGTATACAACCACCTTCTAAGGTCAATGGTTTAAAATGGCTTTGAACTATGGATCTTGGTGAAGGCCACACTTTTTCAAACCTTGTCGCCTGGCACTACAGAATCATGAACAAAGAACTGTACCATATAACTGAAACCACATCAGTTGAGGACTTTCAACAACAGCAATAAATAAAAGGGATAGCACTTGTAACTGGAAGAGAAAATAATGACATAACTAAGATGTTGACATTCTGCACATGGTTAGGAAGGAAATCTCCATCAGCTACTGAACTTTGGAAACCTATTTTCCTGAAAAAGAAGAGAAAGAATTTTATAAATTTCAACTGACAGTAGTATTGGCTGTTCAGTCAACAAATGCCAAATGTTTCCTTATAAGGAAACAGCTAATATTACCATTATTGCTTAATATACTGATGTTAAGGCAGGTCTGAGCACCAAAGGGATTAGGATGTATGTATATGTATAGATTTAGACTAGTTTAGAATTTTGCTTTATTTATGATGTTCAATGAGCTGGTGTCAAAAACTTGTACTTGAGTAAACTGGTTGTTGCAATAATTTTTCCTTTCTCTTCTTATTTTAAATATAGTGACATGTTTATAGTTATATTTTTCTGACTTTTGTGTTTTGTTTTATTGCTTTACTTGAATCGAGATTGTATGCCAAAGGAATAAAATTCTTTTTTTTTTAAACTCCAGTGTGTCCATGAAGTGATGGAAGATTTGGACATGTTGCTGCCCTTTGCAAAGGCTGGTAATGATGGCATTCTACACCCTGTGAAAACTGCCTTTGTCCATTCAGCTAATCAGTTATTTAGTAACATTCATGGACACTACCTTTCAGTATGTAAATCTTTACCTTTTCTCAAGCAGTTTATGGAATATCATAAAATAGACACGATTTCATATATCTTTGTTATCAGTCTTTTCTAGGATTGAATTGTATTGTTTGCTTTTTATGCATCTGGTGTTTGTTTATAAAATATCCAGTCATTTTGAATATTTCAAACACTTACTGCATAGCTTTGATGTAACTTGCCAACCAATCAGAGAAGACCTTACTGCCTATACATAAAAAGACACTCTCTTTACACAGTCAGGAGTGTATTGCCAGTGTGTGATTGTGCCATTTATAATGTTGTCTCATACTGGATATTTTTGGCAAAACATCACATAACCCAGGTCTGTCAGCATCCCCTAATACTCAGATTTAGCTTCCTGTGACTTCTGACATATCCCCAAAACTAAAAGCACCATTGAACTGCTGTGGATGAGATTAAGGAACTTGTGACATTTAATGTACACAGCCTCAAGATGGTGGACCAAGCAAGCTCTATGTAAGATAGAAAAAAAATTGTCATTATAATTGTCAGCAGCACAGTCAGGATTGTCCAATGGAAGAGTTGTACACAGATTGAGTGGTTCTTTTTATATGATTCTGACAACTAGATCATTATGTGTACATTAAATTTCATCAGCCAAGCCTATGTAAGCAAAAGAAACACTTTATTCATTCTTTATGTTTGATTGAGGGTATATGAGTAAAACTTTTCTATTTTATGCTCTTTTTGGAACCTTTTAAATTTTAATTGTAAACAAATTGATGACTAAATGTTTTTAGTTGTCAATTTGTTTACAATTAAAATTTATTTTAATCATGTTCCAATTTTTCCTCCTCATTCACTATTTACAAATGTGTAATTGAGTATTTTGTTCTATGTGCCAATGTTCACCTTTTGATAGAATGTTGGCCAAAAGGGTCTCCTAATATTAAAATGATGTCTTCTCTATTTAAGTCTATTTTCTTCTTCTGTGGGTATAAGTCTTTATTTGTACATTTATAAAAATATAAATAATTATATGAAGTGGCATTTTTTTTTTTTAAAAGTAAAACTTTTTATAAGACCAAAATAATTAGAATTTAGATATCAACATGTCACAATCAAAAATTGTTAAAACTATTGATTAATACTTATTGTTAAAAAAAAATTGAATCATGAAAGGCTCTGGGTAACTCTTTCTTGCTTTATTGTTTCAGATAAGTCAGGATATACCTAAAAAAGCTGCAGCTAAGTTATTGTTGGTTGTACTATCAAGTACTGTCTATATTCGCAATCATCTCTGTATCTATGATGAAGTTCTGGCTGAAGAAGATGGGTAAGACTTGAACATTTTTTTCTGATTTTTTTTAAATGAATTTCTCAAAATTAACTGGTGACAAGTTAAACATATTGGCCTTTTATTTGTATTCGTTACAATATCTGAAATTCTTTGCTTTACTGCTCTTATTTGTTTTTTTTTTCTTTCTGATTCTGTTGTATAGAAATAGTTTTTTCAGTTTGTTTTAGCATTGGAAGCAGCATGTTGATCAATAGCATAGTTTAACTAAAATGCCTGTCTTTGTGTTGCAAATAAATTCAATGAATGAAGAAACTTCGGCAATCTTTAATTCTCGTGCCCGCAATAAAACAATGTTTCAAAAGGACAGATTTTCCCTTGACACTGCTATTATTTTAACTACCTATGCTCTCTCAGCAATGTTTCTTGTCTTAAGAAGCGATTTTTAGAATTTGAATAAAACCCAAACATAAAAAAGTGATTTTTTATACATTTCCTTTGCTCTTTGAGAATTTACAACAAAAATATTAAATACTATTTATTGAATTGTTTATAAGAATAATTTTATATTTACAACATTCTAAAAATGCAAACCCATTAATACAATGCACTGTTTATCATCTGTCAATTTATAGATGAGTTAAATAAATTTTTTTCGGAAATTTATAAAAAATGTCTGTCAAATATGAAAAATTCAAATGAACAGATATTGCTGAATAACTAATTATAAATTTTGAAAAAAATGCATTTTTGGGTATTTTTTTTTTCATGCAGCAATTCATTGCTATTTTGATAAAATTATGAATAAAAAACTTATTTTCATAGTTATTTATAAAGTAGTGAATAATAAATATTGAATTGTATATAATTTACATATTTTGATAATTTTGTATAAATTTTTGAATAAAAAGATTTCTTTTCAAATTTATTTCTTTATAAAATGGTAAATAAATCTTTATAAAAAGTAAATAATAAATATTACATTGTACTTGGTTCACATATTTTTATAATCTTATAAATAAACATTGATGAGGGACTGAAGGTAGTACAAAATAATAGTGGTGTCAAGGCAAAAACCATCCATTTGAAACAGCATTTTTTTGCAGGCACAAAAGTTACAGTTTGCTGAAACTTCAATGATATCAAAGCCAAACAGTTGTGTGACAAGGTATGTATTAAATGTTGTAGATGACAGCACCAGTTGAAGATTAATTGACATTCAGGAAACTACATGAAAGCAGAGAGTTCAACCAGTACAGGTGGAAAAGATTCCAGCTAGACTGGTCGAACAGATTCTGACAGCTAGAAATCATCATTACCCAAGTATATATTTCTGTAAGTGCCATCAGAATACAGGGTGACTATATACATATTAAATATAGTGTTATGTATATAAAATTTATAAACAAGATGAATGAAAATAAATAGGTTCTAAACAAGGAAAGAATTGGGGAGATGTTAAAGAAAGAAAGAAAGATTGATTGATTGATTGATTGATTGAGGTTTTAAAGAAGACAGAGAAGGGAGATGTTAAGAAAGGAAGTAAGAGTGGTGAGTTAAGGAAGGAAGGAAGAAAAAGTGGGGAGATGTTGAGAAAGATTTGGTGAGGATGTTAAGGAAGAAATAGAGAGGAGATATTAAGAAAGAAAGAAAGAGTGGGGAGATATTAAGAAAGAAAGAAAGAGTGGGGAGATATTAAGAAAGAAAGAAAGAGTGGGGAGATATTAAGAAAGAAAGAAAGAGTGGGGAGATATTAAGAAAGAAAGAAAGAGTGGGGAGATATTAAGAAAGAAAGAAAGAGTGGGGAGATATTAAGAAAAAAAAAGAGGGGGAGATATTAAGAAAGAAAGAAAGAGTGGGGCGATATTAAGAAAGAGAAAGAAAGAGTGGGGCGATATTAAGAAAGAGAAAGAAAGAGTGGGGTGATAATCAGAAAGAGAGTGGGTGATATTAAGAGAGAGAAAGGAGTTAGAGATGTTAAGAAAAAGATCTGGGGAGGTGTTAGAGAGAAAGAAAGATTTGAGGAGGTGTTAGAAAGAGAAAGAAAGAGTTTGGAAATGTCAAGAAAGAAAGAAGATTTTGAGAAGATCAAATGGTGAGTATATTAAAAAAGGATGAAAAAAATGGGAAAGGTACTAAGAAAGAAAATGTAAAGTGATATTAAGAAAGAAATAGTAGGTAGTTATTAAGAAATAAAAATAGAATGGGTAAATATTAATAAAGAAAGAAAGAAGGATATCACTGAGCCATTCTGGTGATGGACACTTGTATCCTGTTAGTTGACTAACAGTTGTCAAGTGCCATCATGTTTGCAAGACCCAAGTGTGCTCTATAAAAACAATTAGAATAATAATACAATTCTGGAATCCTCTTCAGGACACTTGGTGCTCCAGGATGCATATGAATGCCAATCCTCCTCTTCATCATCATCATCATTTTCATTAATTTTGTCATATTTTTTGCAACCAAATTTTCCAGGTTCTTTTGTCATATTTAATCAACATATCAATTCATTCATTAAGAAAAGTAACAGTACTATAGTCACACAAAATAAAGACGAATAAACGTACGAATAAAATAAAACGTACGAATAAAATAAAAACTTTTACCTTCTTCAGGTGACATGAGAACATGGCAGACAGAATTTCAAGCTTACTATGAATCAATGTCCGTAACTAAAATGGAATTTTTGCCATGGAACAGACAATTTGTTTCAAACTACCTTGAACATGAAGCTGATTTACTGACCCTGAATTTATTCCTCTCATTCTGAGACATGTTTGAAAAGGGGGGGGTGATGTTTTCCCATGTGTCTTAGAAGTAAAAGGATCTTATTTAATTATCGTTCAGTGAAATGAATAAATGAAAGCTATCCTTATTTATACCTGATAAACAGACTTACTGATTCATTAGTTTTATTCTTTATTTATTTTAATCTGTAATAGATCAGGAATTAAAATTAGAATGAAGAAAACGAAAATCATTATACTCTTTGCTAAAGTCTTGATATTAAGTTTGTTGTATTCTATATAGACCTCTTCTTCTGTATCTTACTTGCATTCTTTATGGTTATTTTTTTCAGTTTTAATGATAATTAAACATGCGTGCATATATATTAGTGAATATGCATAATATCCAACGTCAATAGCATGACTGAGTTTCATGCAGTTTCTGCAATCTTCAGGTGGAGTCTTCATAACATTGTATTTATAACACCCGTTGAAGAAATATATTTATACATACATAAAATGTTTTGTGTGTGTATGTACGTTTTTCATACACATACCTATACACACACACACACACACACACACACACATATATATATATATATATATATATATCATAAAGAAACAATTTATACAAAGAATTAAATAGCAATGTTAATGTGATTAATGGTGAAATCACTTTGCTAACAGAACTTAATGAGACATTAACTTACTATAAATTCCTTGTATAATAAGATCCTTATATTCAAGTAGTTGTCAGATGGAAGGCATATACCAAGTATTTTAGACAATTTCAAATTATCATATTCAGAGTGCAATTTTCTTATATATAGGTAAATATTAAGATGAATAATATATAAAAATATATATATATATATAATTATATACACACACTGTTTAAAAAAAACTGACGTATTCATTTCTAACATACATATTCACTAATAAAAACACCTGAAGTAAAAAGAATGTCAGATTCAAAATAAATCCATTCTTAAGATCTATTTTATATATAATTATAAAATAGATTTTCTGCAATCAATACAGTCATTATTATTTTATTATTGAAAGTCCCAATAAGTGAAACACTGTGTTGACATTCAATAAGTATTGAATGATTTTACTTTATATATATATATATATATATATATATATATATATATATAATGACACAGTATTAATTACATTTACTGGAGAATTCAGCATAGCTTCAGTATAAACAACAGGTGGGCTCTGTTGGTTGAGTGGGCATCTCCTATCTAGCTATCCTGGCAGACAGGTGTATGGGATAATGAGTAGTAGCCAGCCATGGCATTAGGTAAAAGAGACTCTCTCTCACCTATTTCTTTAATATGGACTGTTCCGTATTTATTTGGAAAATATGAATTTCTATTAGTCTTTTGAATTGTCCAGCAAGCTAATGTCAGATTAAGGAACATTAAAGTTTATTTGAGACCAAGTAAGAATTTTACTTTCTTCCTTTATATTTGTTATACAGTAATGAAAAACTAAACTAAATATTTCATCACCGCTGAGCAGACCTTAAACCTGCACCAATTCCTGGTGAGTTGACCTTGCCTCAAATGCCTGGTCACAAGTGGAGCCTATATATTTGTGTCATTGCAAAAGATACTGGAAAAATGGTCAGTTCTTTGTATCTCTCCAGAAAATACTTAGCTCCCACCGTCATGTTCTCTCTTTATAAGAGTCAGATCAGACTAAGAATGGAGTATTTCTGCCATATCTGGGCTGGTGCTGCCAAAATCTCAATGTCCAGCTTCAACAGAATTCAAAAGTTCTTATATGGCCTTATAGGTGATGAATTATTCTCCACCCTGCAACCCTTGTCCCATAGACAAAACATTGCCATTAAAACTTTTGCTTATAAAAACATTGAAACAAAAGTGTCTTGTTGGATAGTAAATTAAATATTACTCTCACTGATACTGTTATGTCATTTCATGCCACTTTTATTTGTTAAGGACCAGGATCAATAAATATGCGGTAATTTCTGGGATGAGGAGTTAGCATTATTTACACACTTTACATTCTGACTATTATCACATTGTTGTTATCATATTTCATGGACTATTGTCTTCATTATTGTTGTTGTTATCAAAACGTTTGAATATTTGATAGTTGAGTGATATTAATAGTGCTTGAATTGGTATACATTTTGGGAACACACCCTGTATATGTCTGTACTTAGTTAATAACTAACTTTATTTTTGCAAATTCAGCTGATCTTGTATTTTGCAGAGTTTAAGAGGCATAGATTTTCTAAAGTGTTTTTTGATAATCAAATTTTTATTTTTTTTTAAATAGCTTCTTCTAACTTAGTGATGTTTAACCTTAACTTAACGTATTAGTTTCTCTTTTTTTTTTTTTCTTTTTAAATGCCATTTCCCTTCAGATCTAAGTTGATCATGACACTCCACAGATTTCTTTTCTTTATTATCTAGACATTTCTATGACTTTTGGGAAATAGAGAGAAGTAGTTTCCCATTGCTTTGTCCATGGTTTGGAATTCAGAGTTTTATTTCTCTTAGACTGGTTACCAGCCAAGGCTAGAGAGCCCAGTCTACAGTGCTATTTACTTTTCAGTTCCTATTCTAACTTTGTAATTTTTCTAACTTCCAAAACATAGACCAATAGTAGCAGGCCTGCCTGAGAAAAATGACTAATTCAGTTTCAAGCAAACCAATTGTAATGACAAAAGTACACAGGCGTGTAGATTTTAAGAAAGTTTTATTCAACTGAGAATACAAGGTTTGTGTATAGTGTCCTTTTATAGTCCCAGTAAACAGAAATAGCTCTCTCAAAGAGGAGAGTAACAAAACAAAGTGAGACCACTCTTGATTATTCATAACACCCACATCTGAATCACTTGTTATTATAACTTGTCTTTACTTATGAAATGAAGACATATTTAGTTTTATACATGAAGCTTGTTTTTCTTACTCTGAAATCCAGTGAGATTAAACAAAAACAAAATTTCAGGAAAATTCAAATTTTATTTTTCATAAATGAACAAAACCATTCAAGAATCATATTATAATTATGCCTGCCTCTCCCTTTATTAGTTTGTATGACTGTTACGTCCTGTTAGTACCTCATAAATAATGGACTATTCTGTTTTTGATTGCGGGGAAAGAGAGGAAAAGACACTACTTGGTTTCAGTGAGAAAATGAAAGAAAGAAATAAGGGAAGACAGAAGTAAAGAGAGAGAATTTGATTAAGATGATAAGGACAGATACTACATTTTGATCTTAGCCAATGGCAACTGTGATAAAAGCACCACTTTTCAGATGCACAGTATTGAACAATGGAAACTGAGTAAGATAATCGCCAAATATCCAGTTACCATAAATAAAATAACATCGTCTTCTGAATTATTTTTTAAATGTTTATTAAGAGAAATCTTTGTAAGACAGGAATTTGTCAAGTTAATATAAAGTTATTAAAAATGAAAGTAACCATGATTAATTAAAACTTAGACCATGTTGGAAATTACTAAATATGGATATCACTTTGTTAGGAAATAAAACAAACTTTTTAAAAATCAAGCCTGTGGTTTTGTTAACAGATAACTATTTTAATTTCATTTCTGCATATATCATAAAAATTCTGCATTATTTAAAATGTGGGAGTAGTAATTGTCATTTTTAGAATTGTAGAAATTATTATTTCAAAGAATGTACTGATGATTTGTACAAACAAATCAAAAAGAGTTTTTGAAAGTTACTCAGAATTTATGAGATGAAGAATTATCTTATACACCAATTTATTTATTTAAACTTGTGTCATCACCTCGGTTGTTATAGTCACATTTTGGCTGTTTCAACTTCTAACTTTGGGTGTTTAATTATTAAGATTCATCATGTATACTAAACTCTGATAAACCCCTCAGTAGACCTAGCATAGAATTAAGCACCATATTTGAGTTTTTGAAATTTTAAGCAAAAAATTAAATGATCTTCCTTTCATTTTATCCACTTAGAAGGGTTGAATGAAATCTAGAGAATGTTATTAACATTTTTTTTTATTTTGGCTATATTGATTTAAGATTAAAGAAAGTTTTTCAAATTAGTTTGCTCATAATGAATATGTTTTTGTGATAAATTATGATGTTTCACTTAGTAATGGAGGTGTGTATCCAAAGTATTTTTATTTTTAATCATGGGGGAACATCTTAAGAACTTCTATGTGCTTTTTGAAACTTTTAAATGGTATCTTCATATGGTATCTTTTGACAATCCTCACTCCTCTGAAAGTTTTCAAATGCTGTTGTCTCTCTTGTGATTTAAAGCATCATAATTGACAAGTGATAGCTATCCACTTCTGGTCTTTATTTCAAGGAACAACATTATAATCTTTAAAATGCTTAAACTAATTTTTGACAGTATGGTCATATATTGTTTAAAATCTTTTTACTTTTTGAATTCCACTATCAGTTTCCATGTTTTTTTCTGGCTTAGTTTAAAATAATACTTAAAAATTTAACTGTCTTTACACTTGTAGCAATGATTATAACATCTGAAACAAAATATAAACTAGGATAATATCTCTCCCTTTCTTGAGATATATATATATATCACTGATGACCACACACACACACACAAGTATATATATATATATATATATATATATATATATATATATAACTGATGACTTCATACCATTGCATTTTATAAATGTATTTTAAGAATATATATATATATATATAGAGAGAGAGAGAGAGAGAGAGAGTAAATTTTAAGACAAAATGGAAAAGTTAACTTGTGACATGTTTCATCCATTTGAACTTCATCAGACTGGGTTTGTTGACGTTGTTATGACTACACATGTGCATTAATAAGAGATGCTGGTAGTTTCAACATTTTAAAATAATTTTTTTGTCTTTTTTCCACATCGATATGATATAAAATAATGATATATATTTTTATATATCAAGAAACAGTATTAGGTAAATTTTAAGAGAAAATGGAAAAAGTTTACTTGTGTTGAAATGTTGAAACTACCAGCATCTCTTGTTAATGCACATGTAATGTAATAACTGATCTTAACATTATTTTTGTTAAAAATCTTTTTTAGTGTTGGTGACTGACTAAACTGCTTATGAATTAAATTTAGGAAAATTCTTCCGATATTCATTTGAACATTAGGATTAAAAGGTGGACTAAATCACATTATGTTTATAATGTTTCTGTTTATTTTTACCTTCTTTGTTTTTTTTTCTAAATACTCTAAATTCACTTTATGATTGCGTAGTTCTAAAGCTTTTATATATTTAACCTTATTATCAAATATTTCAGAAATTTATCAGTTCCTTCCACAATTGGTCTATTTTTCTTGGACTTATTTTACAGAGGAGAATTACAGTCATCTCTGTAAAGCCCTGTGTCCTTAATGTTTAAAATAAATCTTAGTCACCACAATAGCAAGATTCAAAAGATTTTGCATGCTTTAGCAGAATCAAAGCATAGCAATGTTAAATTCAGTGTTATTTCGTTTGGTCCATACATAATCATTATGGAATAATATAGGTTTTTGTGCTTGCTTTATGATTTTAATTTCACAATGACTAATAGGATAGTAAGATTTTGCTAAATTACAGACATTAGCAGATTCTCTGTGACGGATGAGTAAAAGCCACAAATTTTGAAATATAATATAAAATCTGTGTCTCTCTCTCTCTCTCTCTCTCTCTCTCTCTATATATATATATATATATATATATATATATATATATATATATATATATATATATATATATATATATATATATATATATATATATAATGAAGATAGCTCAGTGATAGAAACTCTGACTGACACCAAATTGGTTGGGTTTCAATACTGGCTTGAAGCATTCGGATGTCTAGTTGCACTGATGAGCTGTGATTCAATCAAACAGGACTGTCTGCAAGTGATATATATATATATATTAAAATTACAAAGATACTATTCCTTGGGATCATCTCCTCAGGCCATTAATATTAAAAAAAATAACCTTCTTGACAAATCAACCATGGTGAGATTTGAATACAGGTTTCATGGTCAGAATGCCTATGTTCTAACCACTTGACCATGCATCCAATCCACATACTTATAATATTGTATTAGTAATGGTTCTCAAAGAAGCTAAGTCCCTGTTTGCTGAGAGAATGAGGCACTGCATTTACACTGATGTCACTACCATTACTCTTGCCTTGATAGTAAGTATGATCAATCAGACAAAGTCAAAATGACAGATGATGTACAAAACAACCTGAGACAATCATGGACAAAAGATAGCTTGTCAATTTTAACTCCTCCGAAATTAAACTTCTCTCCATTAATCATCTGAGAGAGCATGGCTGATACTATCCTCCAAGAAAGTGACTCATCGTGCCCTCTCGGGCCAATGTTTTTAGCTGATATGAATATTGAATCTATTGCTAGATCAGCGGCTAAGAAAGTTTGTTCATTGTGTCAGGTGAGAAAATTTTTCTCTCTGGAATTTGTCTTGCTTATCTATAAGTCTACCATTTGTCCATACTTAGAATATTGTCGCCATATATATATATTTTCCTTGATAAGATCCAAAGAAGAATCAGCAATATTATTGGTCCTGATCTGGTGGTTCAGCTTCAATCACTTGCCTACCACCATAAGGCTGCCTCTCTGTGTCTTTTTTTTTATAAATGCTTTTATTGTAATTGTTTGGATGAGCTCTTCACTATCATACCTAGACTATGAATTTAAATGCAATACTAGAGTGGTGTCAAGATCGCATCAATTTACAGTTGAGCTAGTTAGATGTGGCTGTAATGCCTATGCTAACAGCTACTTATTTCACACTTCTCACTTGTGGAACTCTCTCTTGGCTCCATGCTTTCCAGCCAACTTTAATCTGCAAAAATTTAGATGCAATGTCAATTGCTATCTACTGTCCTGATTGCTCTTTTCTCTTTCTCTCTTTACTAATGTTTCTGTTCCTAATTCCTCCACACCCTGTAACCACTTGCATGCTCATGGCTGTATTATTTTGCTTGGGGTGATACCTCTTAAAAAAAAAAAAAAAAAAAAAAAAAATTGTAAAAATAGTTGTTTCTCTACAGGAACCATTTGGCATCATTGCCCAAACAATTAGTGTTAATGTCTGTTGAAATTTTAAAAAAATTTTTTCTTAAAAAAACATTTTTTCAGAAAAGTAGATTTCTCAAGTACTGGTGAGAGTTTCCTTCCGAACCTTTTCTTTAAAGTATTATTGAAAATAAACATCTTAATCATATTATTTTACCATCTAGTGCCATCTATTTTAGTTGTTGCATTTTTTTTTTTTTTTTTTTTTTATTACCCCAAGCAAGGTGATAATGCAAATAAGATGCAAGGAGTTACTGGGAGTGAAAGTGAATGAAAAGAATTTAGGAGAATGAACAGGAAACCTAATCCTAAACAGTAAACAAAGAATACACCTCTACTCCTGTTCAAAAGACTCAGGAAGTGTGTGAACCGGGAAATAAACAAACTTTTCTATTGTTATAGAAAAAAAAAAAATTTTTCAGATTTAAAAAAAAAAAAAATAAAAAATAAACAGAGGGTGTTACAGCCCAGTAAATTTTTATTTACCTTTTGAAGAAATCTCACACCCTCGTTCAGTTATTTTTGAAAGCCTATATCGGCTGTAATGTATAAATAGGAATATTACAATCTTTATATTCCATCAAATATGATGCTCTTTGGAAATATACAGATTCTATAAAAATAAAATCAGTAAAGAAAAATAATCAGATACTTACTTTATTTTTTATTTAATCTTAAATATCCACTTTTGTTAAAAATGTCTGTCAGAAGCAGACATTAAAATGCAAAAACAGTTATTAAATATAAGTTTTTAATTGTGACTGCAACTGTTACTATCTTTGTTCCTCTCTCTTTTTTTTTTTTTTTTTTTTGTAAAATATCCATTAATGTTTCCATTCATGGCATCTCTATTTTGACTCTCTATACAGGACTAGACGAGCACCTGGAAAAACAACAAATGCTGATCGGAATAAGTAAAGATATCAATTACTTGTTTGCCTCCCTTTTCTTATTTCTTTTTTTTTTTTCTTTTAAACTATATTCTCTGTTTTCTTTTTCCACTTTTCACTTTCTACACTTGAATTTGCTCAGTTTATCATACCAGTCTTTGAATGCAAAACAAAAACCACCAACATCTAAAAAAAAAAAAAAATAATGTCAAACATAATTATTTTATTTTATTTATTATTTATTTTTTGCTTGTGTAAAAAAAAAAGAAAAAGAAAGAACCTATTTTATTCAATGGCTAAATTCTTTATCTTTCTTTCTTTCTTTTTTTAAAACTTACCTTTTCCAAAAGTGTTTCTTCTGCCGTATTCAATTTTTGGATCATCCAATTTTGCATCTTCATCTATTGTATTTTTGTTTTTCTCTCTTCTTGCTTGGATGGCTAAAGTCCATTCCTATTCGTCCTGTGGAATCCACCCCCACCTAAGCTCTTCTTTTAATTGACTTGAAGGCTCACCTTTGCCTGGCTCAATTCTTATCAGTGGTGCTTGTCTGTATCCCCGTGTTTCTTTCTTTTCCCTATTGTATGTTAATATAATGTGAACTTTATATATCTATATATACTAACATGTTCTCTTTTGTTTAAAATGAAGAATGTTCCAATCAAATAGCTAAGCATTTGTCAAAGTGACTTTGGTTAAAGTAATAGGATAATGTCAAATATAATAAATAAAAATTGTTATTTCAATAGAGATGCACATTTTATCAAATAAACTTTTATTTGTTTTTTTTTTTTTTTTTTTTGTCATTATAACTGACAGAATAGAGAGAGATTATTATTTAAACCTGGGGTCTCCAAAGAGGTTAATACCGACTTTTAGGATTCAATGGGACTATTCAGATGGTTGATAAATTAATCATGTATACTTATGACCATTCTCATCAATCATGTTTTTCCCCTTAATGATGTCAACATATTCAATAAAAAGATATATTCATTTATTTTAACGTTTTATTATTTATGAAGTTTAATCTCATGAACAGAAATAAAAACTGAAAATGGAATACCGAAAATATAAAAGCTGAAATGAATCTTATTTGGAAACAATAATATTTTATTTTTTAAATAAAATATAATTATTGATATTTTTGTCCATGCCGGGGTGCAGAGGTAATGTCGTTATAATGGACTGAATGGATAGATTATTTAAACATGGGGTCACCAACATGATCGATATCGACCTTTAGCATTCAATGGAACTATTCAGATGGTTGATAAATTAATCATGTGTACTTATGACTAGACCTCACCAATTTCAAACTAAATATCAATGACCTTGCTCATCAATCATGTTTTTCCCCTTAATGTTGTCAACCAATTCAATAAAAAGGTATATTAATTTATTTTTAATATGTTTATCATTACCTTCATGGAGTTTATTTTCATGAGGTGAAATAAAAACTTTAAATGGAATAATGAAAATAAAATGAAATCTTATTGAGAAAACAATGATAAAATAAAGGGCAGAGGAATTTCTACATTTAAATAAAAAATAATTATTATTGATATATATTTTTTTGTACATTTTTAATGTTTTTTTTTTATTACCAGTATTATTTATGAAGTTTGTAATTATTTGAACAAACTTGTCAAGAATAGGAAGAGAAACAGAAATTGAAAAGGAAATAACAAAAGCATAAAACCAAAATGAAACTTATCAAGAAACAATATTGAAGAATGGGCAAAGGAGTTTCTACCCTTAAATGAAAGAATAAAACACTTCCTTCCCATTATTGATAACAACCAATTCAATAAAAAGGTAAATTAATATAGTTTAATGCATTTATTAATATCTGTATTATTTACGAAATTTATTCTCATGAAATGAAATAAATTTAAAAATGGACTAACAAAGATATAAAGTTAGAATGAATTTGATTGAAAAACAATAATAAAAAATTTCCACATTTAAATAAAAAAAATAATTAATATTGATATTTTTTGTGGGTGGGTATGGGATCAAGAATTCCATGAAGGTCTCAATGGTCTAAAAAGTTTGGGGGCCTAATTTAAATAAATTCTTGTTCTATTTATATTCAGACTATTTGTGTAAATAATGATGACTTCTCATTCCAGTAATTCAGGCTGAAATTTGTTTCAGTGTTAACATCAGTCCCTAATTCTTACATATACACACTCTATTCAGATATTCAGCACATTTGCCTTATGAATATAGAATACCTAAAAAATATATTTTATCATAAAATTTTAATTATAAATTCCCCAATAAAGTATTTTTTAAATTTAATTTTTTTTTTAAATTAACTTTCTTTATTTTCTTGTTTTCATTGGGAACTAAATTTGTTTCTTTTTTAATTTCCTCATTCTCGTATTAAAATAGAAATTGAAATTTTGTTTCAATATATTTTTTCAGCTAACAGCCAAAATTGTTAAACCACCTGTCATAGCCTCAAATGTCTTACCTTGCTGTCTTTAGTAACATAATATACTTAAAAACATTTAAGTCCCAATTCTTTTGAAATATATATATATATATATATATGTGTATGTATATTGTGATAAAATTTATATTGGTGAAACATGACAAAGTTAAAACAAACATCTATGAAAACAAAAGAGCTATAAAAATCTTGACTAGATTAAATTCTTTATTCTCCCATATACAAACCATCTTTTCAATTTTAAAAACATTAAAATGGTTAAATTTATTCATAATAAATGATCAAGAGGAATTATTGAATCACAATTCAATTTGATTAATCAAAAAGTAGGTTTCTATATCATATTTTCTGATTAAGATAATAATTAAAATTATACTGTTTAAACATCTTAATAAAATTTTAATTGATCTGAAAATTGCATTTAAGCATATAAGAGAATGTTGCCATGCGGTGTTAAGATCAGTGTTCTTAATTCTTAATTTTACACACGCTCTATCCCAGATGTTGAACACTTTTGCCCTATAAATATGGAATACTTTAAAACTATATTTATTTCAAAATTTTACTTATAAATTTAATTTAATTCTGTTTTCCTCAAAACATAAATATTATCATAAATTATAACTTAAATTATATGTATTTACTATCTTTAGAGATACACGATTTATTTTCCTGATTTTAACTTTGTTTTATTTTTCTACATCATATCACTGTTTTATAAACTATTTTAACATTTTCCTATGTGAAATTTTATTAACTTTAAAATTTTCAAAACCTTTTCAAATTATACACAGTTTTTAAGTAGCAAAGTTTCCATAGTAATGATTTTTTCCTTAGTTTTTTCAATTGCCTTGATGATATTTATACTGATTGAAATGTTAATAGCATATAATTTTAAACATCAAACTGTTTTTCACATATTTGATCTTACATACTTTGTTTGGATATTTCATATCTGTCATATATATATATATATATATATATATATATATATATATATATATATATTTTCTAATTTTTAATTTATTTAAAACCAGAAATAATCTTTTTAACACCTAACATTTAGTTGTTTGCATGGTTTTGTTTTAAATTTAAATCAAGATATTTAATCCAGTCCTACCTCCAGTCTTCATCCATTCCACAGCTTTATAAATATCTAGCACCATCTTGATTATTTGGATCCTGCATAAATATTTGTTTGCTTGTTCTAAAACTATGCTAATTATAAAAAAAAAATCAATGGGTAAGTATTAATACTAAAATGTTTGGAATTCATTTATTGTTTTTTTTTGGGGGGGGGGTCTAAATTTTAACTCATGTTAAAATATAATCTAATATTCAAATTAACAACACTAACCAAACTAAACCATTCATTTTAGAAATACATTAATTTTTAAAAATTTATTTTCATTCAAGGAAAGTTATTTTAATTTTAAATTTTTTGCGAAATATCAGAAGTAAATTTCTTTTAAAATGTGAGAGCAGTAATTATCATTTTTAGAATTGTAAAAATTATTTCTTAAAAATATAGAGCATTGGTTTCCCATTGCTTTCTCCATGGTTTGGAATTAAGAGTTTTCTTTCTCTTAGACTGGATACCATCCAAGGCTAGAGAGCCCAGTCTACAGTGCTATTTATTTTCCTTTTCCTATTCTAATTTTGTAACATTTCTAACTTCCAAGACATAGACCAATAGTAGCAGGCTAGCCTGAGAAAAAAGACTAATTCACTTTCAAGCTAACCAACAGTAATGACAAAAGTACACAGGTGTAGGCTTTAGGAAAGTTTTATTCAACTGAGAATACAAGGTTCTTTTATAGTCTCAGTAAACAGAAATAGCTCTCTCAAAGAGGAGAGTAACAAAACAAAGGGAGACCACTCTTGATTATTCATAACACCCACATCTGAATCACTTGTTATTATAACTCGTCTTTACTTATGAAATGAAGACATATTTAGTTTTATACATGAAGCTTGTTTTTCTTACTCTGAAATCCAGTGAGATTAAACAAAAACAAAATTTCAGGAAAATTCAAATTTTATTTTTCATAAATGAACAAAACCATTCAAGAATCATATTATAATTGTGTCTGTCTCTCCCTTTATTAGTTTGTATGACTGTTACGTCCTGTTAGTACCTCATAAATAATGGACTATTCTGTTTTTGATTGCGGGGAAAGAGGAAAAGACACTACTTGGTTTCAGTGAGAAAATGAAAGAAAGAAATAAGGGAAGACAGAAGTAAAGAGAGAGAATTTGATTAAGATGATAAGGACAGATACTACATTTTCATCTTAGCCAGTGTCAACTGTGATAAAAGCACCACTTTTCAGATGCACAGTATTGAACAATGGAAACTGAGTAAGATAATCGCCAAAAATCCAGTTACCATAAATAAAATAACATCGTCTGCTGAATTATTTTTTAAATGTTTATTAAGAGAAATCTTTGTAAGACAGGAATTTGTCAAGTTAATATAAAGTTATTAAAAATGAAAGTAACCATGATTAATTAAAACTTAGACCATGTTGGAATTTACTAAATATCGATATCACTTTGTTAA